TGGTTGTAGTTTGGTCAGGTGTTTCATACATACCAGCTGCAAGTGTTCCAAAAGGAATTCCACGACGCCTCTTCAGCCCAAATGCATGGTCATCTGGTGCATATGAGAACTGGACAGTTATTAAGGCATGTTTAATCAAGTTGCATGTATATATATGCACTAGTTTTCCTTGGTTTAATATTTCAAACTCAACAGGACATGCTGAATGTGCCCATCCTCTATACAGTTGGAGCTTTTATTCCAGCAACCATGATTGCAGTACTTTACTATTTTGACCATAGCGTCGCATCTCAACTTGCTCAACAGAAAGAATTCAATTTGAGAAAGCCACCTTCTTTTCACTATGACTTGCTTCTTTTGGGGTTCTTGGTATGCATTTCCTGCTGCTTACTTTCCCTTTCCATCAATAATGTGTGTTCAAATAAATAAATAAATACTACACTAATTCCATCTTCATTGCTTCTCCATGCAGACCTTAATGTGCGGTCTGATTGGAGTTCCTCCATCAAATGGTGTAATCCCGCAATCCCCAATGCATACAAAGAGTCTGGCTACTCTTAAACACCAAGTAATTCATTTTAACCCCAAACAGCCCCTCTCAATTTAACATCTAAAAAAATTCTTCTGGCTGCTGCTGCTGCTGCTGCTACACTCAGAAACACACACACACACACAAAAAGATGTAGGATCCTACATGTTAGCAGAGTTACTTGTGCAAATATGTCCCACTCTTGATTGGGCAGTTGCTTCGGAACAGACTTGTTGTGGCAGCACGTCAAAGTATGAGGAAGAACTCAAGCTTGGGACAATTGTATGGTAACATGCAAGAAGCCTATCAACAAATGCAGACTCCTCTGATCTACCAGGAGCCCTCAGCTCGAGTACGTACCAGACTTTATGATTCCCCTCCCCCATCTTCATATCAAACACTAAACTATATAATAAATGCAGGGGGTGGTGGTGCTAAAGGAATTAAAAGAATCAACAATCCAATTAGCTACAAGCATGGGGAACATTGATGCCCCGGTGGATGAGACAGTTTTTGAGGTTGAGAAAGATATTGATGATTTATTGCCGATTGAGGTGAAAGAACAACGTCTCAGTAATTTGCTTCAGGCCACAATGGTTGGAGGATGTGTTGCAGCAATGCCTTTGCTCAAGATGATTCCAACCTCAGTCCTTTGGGGATACTTTGCCTTTATGGCAATTCAAAGTTTACCAGGCAATCAGTTTTGGGAAAGAATATTAATACTTCTAATCACAGCTCCAACCAGAAGATACAAGTAAGTAGTAATTTCTTCTTCACGACCTCCTGCTTTCTTTCTTTCTATTGCCACTATTCCTCTCTCTTCTATCCTTAACTTGTTAATTCCTTCTTCCTTGCAGAGTTCTGGAAGATTACCATGCCACATTTGTTGAAACTGTGCCATTCAACACAATTGCCACATTTACAGTATTCCAAACAACATACTTGCTTATTTGTTTTGGGATTACATGGATTCCAATTGCAGGGCTTCTATTCCCTTTAATGATCATGCTTTTGGTTCCTGTAAGACAATACCTTTTGCCCAATTTCTTCAAAGCCCCACACCTTCAGGATTTAGATGCAGCACAGTACGAAGAGGCACCAGCTCTACCACTCAATCTTGCTGCAGTAACCATTCTTCTCCAACTCACTCAAATATATATATATATATATATATATATATATATATATATATATCATATTCTAACTTACCAACCCCAACACACCACAAAACCCAAACCCCCCCCCACCCCCCCCCCCCCCCCCACACACACACACACAACACACACACACACACAACTTACAATAATATTAGTCTCACTAGCTAGGTTTACCTGAAATTTTTGACTTTATGGCTTGAACTCATTATTCTTAGAAGTGTCATTTTTTATGGCATGTAGGAGGCAGAACTGGGTGGTAGGGCTTCTTTTGTCGATGATGCAGAGCTTTTTGATAAGGTTATTACCAGAAGCCGTGGTGAGATTAGGCATACATGCAGTCCTAAGATGACAAGCTCTGCTGCAACGCCACCAATGAAGGACAAGGATCCCAAAATCCTCCAGAGCCCTCGCAAAAGTTCATCAGAGAAAGCATACAGCCCTCGCATAAGCCAACTACGAGGGGAGCAAAGCCGGTCTAGCGGAAGAGATCTTCTCAGTCCAAGGACTGTAGAAATGGGACCATCTAATTTGGGTACGAGTACTGGTAGTAGTAACTCAACTCAACTTCTTTAAATTAACTAGCTGCATTTAGTTTGAGATGGCTTGTAAGTTGAACCGTTTTGGTTTTCACTGTCTTGTTTTGCTGCTTCGGCTTGATGTAAAATCTCCCTTCTTTCTGCTCCTGTGTTTCAAGACTTCTCTAGCTGCATTTACGTGTCACTGTCTTTCTTGTAATCAAAGTACTAGCAACTATTGCACCTTATTTATTTATTGAATACTGCTTTTATATTGCTGCTTGTAAATTCCCAAATGTTATGTTGACTTTGCTTTAAAAATGAAAAAAACAAAACTCAGCACGTACAAGCAACGTCTCCCAAGCATCTATACCACAAATTTTGCCCTCCAACTTTGTTTGTGGTTATATTTTCTTCTGTTATACTATATTAAAACCTTCTTGATCTGCATTCTCCCAACCGATCTGCTTCTACTTTCTAGAGTTGCTAAATTACTAATTTTTTTCTTCCTGAAAAGTATGTTTGAAAGGAGTTGATTAAAATGAAAACCAAGGAAATGAATTTGATAAACTTGACAGAACTACTGAAACACCACCACCACATAGACAGACATACCTAGCTAATTTTTATATATAGCCAAAATGAAGGGAAATTAGTCAACACATAATTAATTCTTGTAGAACTTGTCAATACATGTAAAGAATCAAATCAACAAATATGATATAAGTAGAAGCAAAAAAATGTTTTTCGTATTTTGGGCAATTCACTTCCAACAGTAGCAGATAACACTAACTCATGATTTACCAAAAGTGCAAATGCTGATAGTGATTGTATTTGTGGCTAAGATTGGTCCTCTCACTGGTTCTCAAGTCTCATCAGAATTGATCAGCAGCAGTAATTAGACTGATGGACTGAGATGGGAAAGGGACTTAATTTCCCATAGTTAGTTGTGAAACAAAAGCAGAGGTCAGAAATGTCTCACAGAAAAGCATTATTCCAAGTAAATGAACACGCCTTGCCCTTGCCCTTTCCTACGAGGTAGGTCAGGTAAGGAGGGGTCCTACTACATTACATTTGCAGGCCAGAGACAGATGGAGAGGAAAACACACACACACACACACACACATATATATATCAAGTGGGTTCTCATTTCATTTCATGATAGCATTGACTTTGCAGCAAGTGGGCCGGATTCGTCACATATGTCTCTCTCTGGATCGTGGGGAGGGGAAGGGAGGCTACGCTACACTAGCTAGCTAATTAGGTCGGTCCATTTCTAATGATTTCAGAATCCTTGTCGTCTCCTTTATGATCTATCAATATATAACTCCAAAAGACTACTACTATTCTATAACCTTACATTATCAGTCTCAAGACACCAATCTTATTAGATGACAAGATCCACTAGTACTCAAGACACCAATCTTATTAGATCACACGATCCACTAGTACTAAGGATTTGACAAGCTAGTTGACCATAACAAAGCTAGCTCTCTCATCTCTACATATTGTAATTCATTTTGCATGTATTCAACTCATTCAATCTGTACCTGACATCTTATTATCAAAACTACCTACAAATTCATGCATGGAGATACTACGCCCGCAGGGTGCAGACTTTTACCTTATGCTACACAAGCCTAACAATCCACTAATAATTTAATATGATACACTGAGATACAATCATTGAATACACCCATCAAATCGATGGACAGTATTATCGAAACAAAATAAATACAACACACAACGCCCAAACAAAGGAATTGATGTGCAGTCAAGTTGCAACAATTGGGAAGCCGTCTACCTGAGGTCCAGAAAATAATGCAGTCCAGTGGTGCATCTGGCCTAAATTTTCTTAAATAACCATGGGTTGGGTGCATATTATCTATCTACTTAACTGAGTGGAAATCATGAACATTTACCCAGGAACGAAAACCTAATAGAATAAGGAACAAGAAGTCCAAATGGCACACCTAACAGAATAAAAGAAACCTAAAAAGAAGCCCGGAATGGCACTATCTCTAAAAATTATAAGATACACACACATATATATGAGATAAAACCTAATCCCTTGAAACATTTAAGTATCACAAATCAAAAAGAATTTAAATCCGTTTACACCTCCAGCAAAAATCCCGAAATATTCAAGACCTCCTATAGCACTGAAAACGATGGAATTTGGCAGCAGCAACAGCAACAAGTTAACAGCAACAACAACAAAAAGAGAGAGAGGCCTCAATCACAGGCTAGTGGATCATAATGAGCGAGCGAGCCTTGTTGGTTGGACCGGTTCCAATCAAATATGGGTGATGTAGGAAAAGGGTAGCCTTATTGCATAAGGCATCCAAAGAGCTAGTACTCTTGGTCAACGTGTTCAATCATTCAAGTCTTTCAATTTTTAGTAACCACCAAAGGTTGTAGTCTAGTGATGCTTCTTCACCTTCCAAAGTAAAAGGAATGTATTTCTTGCCAAGGTAAAAATAAAAATAAAAATAAAAAAATAAAAACGTAATTTTAATATTTTGCATAGTTATGCGGTTGTTTATAATATTAAGGGATGACATGTAAAACGCTAGTAGTTCAAGGAGTTATATTATTATTTTCAAATGAAAAAGAATGGACTGGTAACAGTAAACGTATACCATGAATTTATAATACTTTTACAATTATGAATTTATTTCATCAGCCTTTCAATTTGATTTAATATTAGAATATGATTGAATAATAACAAAATAGTATACAAATAATATATAAATGTTACAGTTTTTTTTATTAGTAATCGTAATAAAAGCATATTTTTATGAGTTTTCTCATGTCGAATGAAATCAAGATAACTTACAACATATAGGTTATAAGTTATAACGAGAGGGAAATGGATTTATAGACTCTTTGACAAACATCATACGGTTGGAAGGGAACATTTAACTTTACTCGATTATTAATATTACAAAAAGAATAGTCCAGATTTGCTATACCAATTCAAAGTAATGGATGGGATAAGTTTCCATGCATCAATCACTGTGTTACCATCCAAACAGTGCTCTAAGTCCAATCATCTGAAATATAGAATCCTAAATCATGATAATATTTTGCATATCAAAACAAAGCAACAGACTCAAATTTCATAGATTTTATGCACAAGAGATGAGATCTGATACATGAGGGTCGTTGCCTGTTCAGCAATTAAACTCACTTCGTGAAATACCAAAGGTTAGTACGTCTTGAGTCCTGAGGTTCTAGAACTAAGCAATATCCCTCTTTTAGATAAATTATAGGTGATTTCAGCCACTAAATCTTAATTATTGTTTGGATGGAAAAAAGATTCAGATAACTGATTGAAAAGAAGAGCTGACTTTACACATTTAAGAAGAAGAAGAAAAAGAGGAGCATTGTCTCCTACAATGCAAGAGGCTAAATTTTAAAAACCTAAAAGTGGAAAGCACGAAGGTATTATTGAGTATCCACACAAATGTAGGGGTCATGGTTCACAAAATTGTTAATCTAGGTGCTTTTCCTTTGCCCTAACTTTGATCATTTGCAGGACCATAAATGAGACCAAAAATATCTTTAAGATTAACATATTCACGAATGGAATTTTTTCAATTCATCTTTGCACAATATAGACACATTGCAATTGAAACTCGTGGAATGTTTTTCAATTGAAAGAAAGTCTTACAGCAACAACATCGGTTAAGGTCATTAGCCATGAGCGCAGTCCCCATAGTTCACAGATCACCTGGTAGAGTCTGCTGACCTACTTCTTGCAAACTTTGCGAACCGTTCTAAACCGCGTAGAAGTAAGCTCTCAAGAAAAGGTTTCAGTGCCTGATAGAATTAACAACGAAAGCTCTTGGATCACCTCATGCTAGTTCAAGTATATAACATGCATCTTAAGCAGAAAATAAGTATTTCTTGCAAATTTACTGCCTTAGCATCTATTTCTCTAGCAACTAAACATATACACAAGTCTTTCACAATTTTGGTTTAAAACAACTAATCATTTATGACCCTTTAAAAAATAAAGCACATGACCTAAATCAAAATTATGATGCCTACCGATGCCACTGGAGCCAACAGCTGAGGAACTTCATAGGAAACAGTTAGCTGAAATGAAGATTAAATCGTAAAGGCTGATTAGTTAAATTTGAGCACCCAAACTGGAGAGAACAAAAAGAATACAAGAATAGATTATCTGTTCTCCCTTTTATAGATCTCTTCATTGCTACCACGAGCCTAAACAATGGGACCAACATAAGAGAAGCAAATAATGATTAATTATACCTTCCAACCCAATTTATGTTTTTTCTTTTTAGCCATTTGACCACTAGATGAGAAAATATCCATTTTATAAGAGTTTTCGACTTGATCCCATTGAACATCTAAGATGGCATCAATCTAGTGGCCCGTGGCTGCCCATTCGTGCACTAAACAAAGGCCGATGGGAAGTAATGAAGGGAGGTGCAAAAGGGAGTCACCTATAGAATACAAAAACAAGATCGTTAAAATGTAGAATGGATATTGTTTAAAGCAGCCTCACTTCTACAACACATGATGAAGGACCTTTTGGAAAAAATCGCACAGCTCCTCTGCCACATGAAAAACAAGTTTATCAAGTGATATAGTAGTCATATATGTGAATATATGAGTAGTATATATCTATCTGCCTACTTCAAGGGATATAGTACAAGAGTAACATATAATAATGATCTATATTATTCATGAAGTTGAACCTTCAGAACTTGGACATGGACAAATATGGCAGTGCTGCTGCTGTCCATACCTATTAATGTACAGGCAAAGATAACTTCAAGGTACCTATGCATGGCAATCTTAGCATGAAAAGCCTGAATATTGATATGGGCTTCTTTTATGGTTTTAAAAATGTAAATTACTTTGAATCCCTTTCTTTTTATTTATAATTTTCTATTTATTTATTAATTTTTGCTAATGCTTCTAATTTATTGTAGTTGTGCTTTATGAAACAAAATGTTGAGCAGCTAAGAAACAACATATACATAAAGTCAGTGCAGCAGAAATATGAATGCTACGATGGATGCGCAGCAAGACCAGAAAGGATACAATTAGAATGAGCACATTCTTGTAATGGTTAAAGTAGCACCAATTGAAGATAAATTGAGAGAAAATCGACTAAGATGGTTTGAACATGTATAAAAAAGACCACTAAATGCGCTACTTAAGAAGAGTGACATTATCTACATAGAGGGTAATTATAGGGAAAAGGGAAGACTAAAGTTAACGCGGTAAAGTTAGGAAGGGTATGTTAAACATGTTCGACACATTACCCAAATGTACTTGGATCCATGTAACCAAACTAGAAATCAGCCAACATTCACAGGTTTTGGTTCATAATTCAGGGTTCTATACGCATGGCATTGAATAATCTCTAGCATGGAGGTAGGGTTTTAATACCTTTTATAGAGTTTTTAGTATAATGGAACATTATTAAGCCCTAGAAGCCTATGCTACATTATTCCTGATTTATTACTCGATCTAAGACAAATTATTTTTAATAAAAATTGGAATAATACTCTGAATTTGCTGTCATGTTGCATATCTGGTTTCTTAAAGTTGATTCATCCAATACCAGGGAGCCCGTTAGAGTAACATATCAATGTAGCATGGATTTCTGCTTCTCTTCTATTTACTTCAGGAGAATTTTGTAAACAACAGGAAAAACATGGAAAAAACAGTGGGGAGAAAATATTTAAACCAAGAAGGGGTTGTTTAGGCATCAACAAGTGCTACTTAAGCACCTACTGTTGGGATTAGGGTTAAGCGCAAAAAAAAAAAAAACCTTATATTATCGTTATAGTGCATATAACACCCCTCGAGTTCAAAAACAACCTCTATAGTATAAAAACAGTGCATATAATGGGTGAAAAGACAAAAATGCCTACCACTTTACTGATAAGAAATATTATACAAATTCTTAAAAGTTGAAATTACCTAAAAGGGCAAACTAAAACGTAGAATGCCTCTCATCCTTTACCACGCTTCTTCTGTGCTACCCTTTCACCTTATTAGTAATTCTTGCATTATATATGTGTGAGTGTGTATACAAAGCTTTTTTTTTTTTTTCCATAAATGGTATATAAAGCGTTTTGTTGTTCGTTTCCTTGCTTTTGGGTTACTTATTATTCTTTTTTTGTTGTTCGTTTCCTTGCTTTTGGGTTACTTATTATTCTTTTCATGCTGTTGGGATTTATGGGAGTTAGCTGAGATATGATAGGCTAGAATCATGGATGAAACTAAGAAGAAATATCAACGGGTCAGTGGCCTAGCTGTACCAGGCTCCTACCTCCCAAAGGGAGGTAAGGGGTTCAAACCTCGGTGGAGGCATGTGTGTGTGAGTACCAACTAGGAAAAAAAAAAAAAAGAAAAAAAAAAGAAGAAATACAAAATAAATATGTAAATGATAAATGAGAATTAAGAAAGGGCTATTTATATAGTAAAAAGAGAACATGTTAATATTACAATAAAGGAAACTGAATAAAATTATTGCATATTCTATGCCTAGACATATGTAAATATCTAACTTATCATATCTCTGCTAATATGATAAGTTACACAAATGATTCTAGCCTATCACATCTCAACTAATACTCCCCCTCAAGTTAGTGCATGGATATCTGAGACATCCAAATTGCACAATACATCCTCAAACACAATCTTTATAACTATATAGCCAACGACTATGTTTGGCTACATTAAATTGACTAGCCAAGACATAACCTTGGTGCTTTCTCCAAACCACAGTGGATATGTCTTATTTGACTCAGCCGGAGTCTCCTCAACCCATAAACCAACAACGTCTCCTCGGACCATAAAAAAACAATTACTGTCTCCTTAACATTTCTGTTTGCTCATACCGTTTCTCTTCATACACATGTTTAAAATATGTAGATGGATGAATAAAAAATGTCCCTTGAAACCATTCCCCTTCATACGCATGTTTAAAATATGTAGATGAAAGAATCAAAAATGTCTCCTCAGACGATTCCCCTTCATACACATGTTTAAAAATATATAGATGGAAGAATCACCAATGTCTCCTCCGACCACAAGGTCTCCTTAGACCATTCATGAATGGGTGGTGCTGAACTTGCAATGCCCTAACCACAAGGTCTCCTCAGACCATTCCTGAATGGATGGTGCCGAACTTACAACGCCCTCGTTGCAGTTGGACCACCCTGGCTCTAATACCAAGAAGAAATATAAGATAGAAGGAATATAAGAGAAATGTGCAAGTGCTTGAATCAGATTTAATAATATGTAAAGGGTTGAATGAGGCTTTAACACTCGTTCACACCCCTAGTAAAGGAAACTGAATAAAATCATTGCATATTCTATGCCTAGACATGTGCGTAAATAAAGTCAAATCCCATGATTCTAGCCTAGCATATCTCGGCTAATATGATTCAATCTAGAAATGAATCAATAGAATCTTCTTAATTTTATCCTTTTGTATTCCTATCCGTTACACCCATGATTCTAGCTTATCATATCTCGGCTAACAATAACACCTTCAATATATCAGTAGCGTATAAAATATTGCAGGTGACAGAAATAAAGGTAGTTGAGGTTTCCGTAAAAGATATTGTCAGTGTCTTAAGTGTGTTAAAGCCTAAGAAAACAGTTACTGATGGAGATGAGGAAAAAAATGAATCTCATTAACTAATCTTACAAGGAAGAACATTTGAATGTCGTTGTTTGCATTGTTGGTTAATATTATACTTGCTTGCCTTGGCTAAACAATTATTCCCATTACCTGTTAGGAAGACCTTCGAGGGATCTCCAGTGAATTTTCTGATTCAGGATGGGCTGCAACAGCAAAACAATAATAAATGCACCTAATGGATGAATCAACAAGCTTCTAAAATGATAGAATAAATAATTGTGGGCAGAAGTAATGGAGGAAAAAAAAAAAGTAGATTTCTCATGATCCTTGCCTGCATGTTTCGAGCAAGCCAAGAGAATTCAATATCACGACCAAAAGCTTTATACTTTAGTGACCATCGTGATAAGTCGGGCTTATCTTCCAAAATCTGTAAAAGTGGAATCCAATATCAAGTTCCCCTATATGCATACAACTGAAGGTGCATTGAACTAAATTAAATTCAATAACTGATAATGTCACACTTTTCAGGGACTAGAGCGGCAGGTTCCTAACCCACAAATGAGAAAGTGTCCATGCCATGGATAGTTTCCTCGTAAATATGAGTGGCTTTTAAATCCAAATCATAGACATCCCTATGTATTTAGATAACATATCAACTGACTAAATTTCCTGATCAATCTAAGCTTGAAAAAGTAAATTAGGCTCCTACAAATATAAAATCAAGGTTTAATTAAAGATGAATACACAACCTAGGGATTGATAAAGTTTCGCTTTGAGTTTTTAATCAACCCAAATTTGCTAAGTTATTCTTAGAAATGAACAAGAATGTTCCGTTAACAAACGGGAGATGATATCCACACTCCATTTTCAACAAATGTAGTCCACTTTTTGTCTTTATTTTTTTTTTTTAATTATTTTTTTAAAATAAAATGACACGAGTTTCCCAATGACATTTATGTTTGAATGTTTGATTCTCTTAATTAAGAAGTTAGTAACAATAATGTCATTTGACTTAAAAGTGGAGTATGTTTGTTGAAAAGTGGAGTGCAGATATCGCCTAGCAAACAAATAATAAGATTATAAGACACTGAAGTTTCCCAAATGCTCAGCTTGATTGCCAAGAAAAAGGGAGGAGAATACAAGTGAAGTTGTGAATATTACATTTTTCATTGTCAAGAAGCATAGAAACGAATGTCTGCACTTAGTTGAGCCACCAACAACTAGTTTGACTTAGATGAGGTGAAAATAGAGCAGCTATGAAGAACAGGGAAAGAGGGATATGCATTGTGGTGTTGTGACGCACCTTTACAGATGAAATGAAGGGCATCCAACGGGGAATGGCTTCACGATCAGAATAACAATTGTAGGCAACTGAAGTAGGAACGTCAATTTCCATCTTAACCCTGCAGTTTACAATAAGTTATGAAATATTGGGGACGCAAATGATAAGAACCCAGAAAGATATGCAGATTAAAAAAGGTTAGAAAGAACAATCTTGAGATGAACCATCAATGTTGTGGTTGTGGTTCATATGTATAACTGAAGCCGCCTTCCTTATGACAGTAGGTCACGTAAGGAGTATATTGCTAACTACAGGGGTCAGAAATAAAACACCTGGCTATCTGTTAATGTACTAGCGTAGTTGAGATTGTAATATCATCTATCATTATAAACAATCAATGGGTGGAAATTTTGACAAATGAGACTGAATACAAAGGGATATTTGTTAATTATCACTAAATTAAATTGTTAAGAATCAAGAATCGAGTCACAAGATCGAACTAAATAAATCGGATAAACTAACAATAATAATAAATCTGACCCTATTTCTTCAATTGAGGATAGATGAGATGAGATGAAGAATTGATGATAAAGATATATATATATATATAAAAGTATCATATAAGAGGAAATGAAATAGTGTTACTACTTACATGCAATCCTGCCATTCCATGACAGGGGAAAAGGGTTTGACGCGACGGCGGGTTAATAAGATTGAAGAATTATTATTAATCCTCTTGCGGGCACCATATGATCTTCTTCTAAGATTGAAGAATAATAATAATGTCTTAGCAGGAGGAGCAATGATGGATGATGAGACGTTTCTGCAACTGGGAATGGGAATGGGAATGGGAATGGTCCGTCGTTGAAGAGATGGGGTTGTTGAACTAAACATTGACATGGTAGGAGTAGATTCTACACTTTCTTTCTATTTTTGTTGGCACCAAAAATTAGTAGTAGTGGTCAATTCAAAACCCCAATCAACGAACGATAGGCTGTCGTCGGTCGATATAGTATGAATCCACTCAGTAGCTAGGAAAATTAGTAGTACAATGCATCTTCAAATAAAGTCACCACAAAAGCTGCCCTGCCCCTGAGCCGTTCAGGTAATATGTACATGGACCAATCAATTTTTTAATTTTTAAATTATATGAACTTCAAACAATATATAATTAGTAGATTTGGTATGAGCTCCGCTAACATTTAAAAAATAAAAATAATAAAATTGAAATTTTTATTATTTTTCTTTCTTTTTTACTTTACTTTTTTTTTTTTCAGAATTTAAAAAGAAAATTTCATGGGTAAATTGCATTTTGGACAATGACGTCTCATTTCATAAATGAAATACAAACACTGCCTTATATAACATGCAAGGTTTAATATGCCCTATAATATTATCTAAAATGACCAAAGTACCCTCCATTAATGTACCTGTGATACATTTTTCTTTGCAACCACAACACCAACCACCATATCTTAACCCTTCTCTCTCTCTCCACACATCACCCAACCACACAACCCACCATTGAAACAACCTTCGCACCACCGCCCGACCCTTCTCTTTCTTTCACCACCACCACTTCACAGCCCCACTATCGCCACTCCACAACCCCCACCACCTGGCCTAGCCTTGAGATTTTCAAAATTTTAAGAGATTCTAGGTGAACTTTCAAATGTGAGGCTCTTTATAAGGTTTAACACGTGCAAATTTTTTTTAAGAGTGTAAAATTTTCATTAAAATAAGACAATAAACACATAAAATATATTAATGTTGAAAATACAAAACAAAACCCAATATTGGTGCTTTATAAAGAGCACGATCCAATTTACATAAAAAAATAAAAATAAAAATTAAAAGAAATATTCATCACAACTTAGTCAGAAAAATCATAATTCAACTTCATATAAAAGTAAATGTGATCGTCTTGCATTTTAAACTCCAAAATTATCAATTAAAGTGTTCCAATTAAGTTTTTCTAACATATATTTTTCAATATATATTATAGCCAATCTATTCAATCTCTCTAATGACATCGTCAACAGTAATAAGATTTGATCAACTTCAACTTTGAAAACTTGTCTTAACAAAACTGTAATCGGAAAAAATAACTCTATATGTAATCCCAAGTATTAGGAAAATAATTACTTAACCTTTTTATAAAATCAAATACTTTAATTATCTTTTTTGTTCCTCTTGGTAAAGTTTCTCTGAAGGCTTGTAACTCTGAAAATAATTTTCTCCTAGCAATATCAGAAATCATTGAATATTTTAGGAGACCTTATAAGATTATTTTGAAAAATGTAACAGTTGATTATGCCCATGAGTTAAAAATTTTATTGTTTGGACTGGGCTTAATGGAAAGCCTGCTATGCATGCACATCAGCCCAAAAATAATATAATAAAAAAATATTTCTGAGTTTAAATATAAAAAAATCTTCTTTTTATTTTTTTATTTTTTTTTTAAGGGAGGGGATAAAACAAATTATTGTTACCATACCAATTATTGTAACACATATATAAATTGATATTATAAGTATGTGTGTTTATTTCCAGAATTTTTTTTATTTTTTTAAAAGTTATTTATTGTCATAAATTTATATGTTATATAAGTATATATTGTCTTTTAATTATGAAAATTATAGCTTAATGTAAGACATTACCTATTATATTTGTACTGTGGTCCTAAATCTGAACCCTTCCAAATTTTGTTCACTCCCGACAAAATAATTATTTCAGTTAAAAAAAAAAGATTTAATAAACATTTTTCAAACATACATAAAAATTATTTTGACATAAAAAGTTATTCTAAAATACATATTTCAAACACTAAATTAAATGGAAGTGTTCTGCTTCTATTTTTCTTTTGTATAAAAGCCAAAGAAAAACTACATCAAACAAGTCTGAGAGTGGATGAGGAGTTTTTTTTTGTTTTTTTAGGTAAATAAGTGGATGAGGAGTTGTTGAAGGTAAAAAGGAGTTGTGTTTTATTTTTTTTATCAAAAGGTAGTTTTCTAGTAATTTTCATGCTTCCCTCTCCACTAGGCGACGGTCATTGGTGGGCGTGTATTCGGATTTGGACTAATGAAAAGAAGAAACTCTTGCACTCCGTATTACTCCAACAAGATGAGTGAGAACTATTGACTTGAGGAAGTTGAGGGAGGAAACAAAGACCCAAATAAATTTCAGAAATGCGGGCTGATAAGGCCAGGATCTTGCTAGGGTTTCCTCCTTGTTTTCGTCCAACCCCATCACAGGTATATATATATATATATATTACGTAGTGATTTGTAATTTGAAATCGTTTGATTTTCTCTCTCCTTTTAGACACGAAACGAGTTGCGCATTGCTTAACAAGATTCGTGATAAAAGTGCATATTCTTGAATTACCCAAACTTGATGGGAATTGTGAGAAATTGATGGTTGAGCTGCCTTGTCTAACTGTTTCAAATCCTGGATTCTCGAAGCATTTGATATCAAGTTTCTCTGGAGTTCATTATTTCATGTTTGATCCCCAAAAGCTCATTGCTGTATGCTGTCATAAATGTCTATGCACAGTGGGGTTGGAGAACTTCCATGTAAGACAGCATTAAGGCAACTTGGAATAATTATATGGTGTGTCTATTTTGTGGGAACCTTTTGGGATTTGGGTTTTAAAAGTTTGGAGAAAGGGCATAGAGTTTTGTAGACAAAAAGGGTTGGAATTTGTTTGATATTTAAGATTGACGAGTTGCTGAAATTTTAGAATATTGGTTGCTGGAATTTCTCAACAGTTTGACTAAGTAGGATGTCTGGCTGATAAATTGAAAATCAAATGATAGACAAAAGGGTTAAAGTTGATGTCTGGGTGTTAAATTGAAGGCCAGAGTGTAGGAAAAGGATTAGAGTTTATTAGGGCAAGATAGGGTAGGGTTTTGGTGATGAAGTAGGGATGTTCAGGAACAGTGAGTTGTAACTTTTTTTGTAATAAAATATGATGTCTGGGTGTTCAATTGTAGACAAATGGACGAGGAAATGGTTTGAGTCAATTAGGGCCATATGGCAATGTCTGGGCATTAAATTGAAGACCAAAGGATAGTGAAAGAGTTATTGTTGATTAGGGCTACATAAGATAGGATTTTGGCGATGAAGTAGGGATGTTATTGAACTATGAACAATAGTGATTTTTAATAAAATAAATTGAACCAAAGGATAGCAAAGGCTTAGATTTGATGTTGTGTTGAAGTAGGAATGTTTAGGAACTGTGAAAATTGATTTTAAATCTGCAAATTTCACCTAGAAGGAATCACCCCGAAAGGTTAGTGTTAACTGCATATCACAAAGGAGGAATAACCCCCAAGGTAAGGTTTTTCCAGGGTACCTTTATATTATTGATAATTCATTTGCTCTTATTTGGATTTCAAAAATGAGATAACAAGTACAGAACATGAAGATTTCCCATCTCTCGTGACTCTTGACATTTCTCGTTATCGGAGAAGGAAATTGTGACCACCTTGAGTTTGAGGATCCTTGACTGGTACTATGTGGTGGTCATTTCATCATTATGGATCTCAATGCCATGTTAACTAAATAAAATTAGATTAATTCGAATCGTCTTGTTGGAGAATTTTTTATGTATTCATTAATTACCCCCCCCCCCCCCCCCCCCCCCCAATACGTCCCATGAGAATGAAAAATACTCCCCTAACCACGTCTCAACTCTCAAAAATAAATCTCTTGGCGAAACCATCCGGTCCCGGAGCTTTGTCCCTGTTACAACACTTCCTCTTCAATAAATGGTTTCTCCATTCCATCTTTATCCTCAGCTGAAATCGAATAAAAAAGCAACCCCTCGAGCCAAGGCCTCCAGCTATCAGTCTCTGTGTACAACTTCTGATAGAAGGAGCTAATCCCTCTAAACCTCCTCCTCCCTCCTCCCTACATAGCATCACCCCATCAACCCAAATCCTCCCCATATGATTGCCCCTCCGGTGGGCATTGACTAATGCCCGAGAAATCTCCTTAGAAATAGCAAATCTTTCCTTCGCACTCCTTCCTTCGGCTCCCCATCGAGTCATCCAACCCACGTTGCCCCTCCAAACGATCAATCTCTGCAATCTCCGCCAGAGCTCTATTCTTCCTCCATTCCAAATTCCAAAAACCTCCTTATTCCATCTCTTGACATCTTCCTTTAGAAAGCTACGGCAAAAATGAAGCTTGGAGAGCCCCTCACACTATATTCTCCCACTTCAGCCCCTCACCCTCTCTTTGAAGCCCTCTGCTCGAAGCCACATATTCTCAAACCGGAATGGAGAACTCATCATCTGCATACCACCACAATCCAACACCAAGGGAAGTGCATATAATATAACAGTAAATCGAACATTACACTGCTATAAAATATTTAATATTTTTAATTGTTCAACATGTTTATCTACCCAAATCCAAATTTTGGACCCAATTCAAGATAAGTTTCTGTAACCTAAGTTTTGAGATTTGGTGTTAGACACACAATTCTGCCAACAGGCATTATCGAGTTGTTTTGACATGGAAGTTATATGGAGATCAATGATCTTTATCAAGGGCAATTTCATAATTGCAGAAGCAGAACTGAATCTAGTTATATGAGATGTTTCCAGTTGTCCTTTAATTTTTTATATCAGAAACTATTTAAAAAAAAAAAAAAAAACAAAACTGAGCAAAGATAGGGAGAGGCGAAAAAAGGGTTGGGATATTCCATTTTTATATGCATGCCTCATGTCGCTCAATGGCATATGCATAGGCAAAAGATTGCTACTCCCTATATATCAAGCAAATGTTAGTTAGCCACACATCCTATCGACTGTTTAGGTGAATTATTATTATGATGACCCTTGAATTTAAAAAATGCTGGAGTGCACATAAGTAGGGCTTTATTTTGTTATTTGGTATATCCAATTTGTATGCTCTCTCTCTGTGTAGTCATTTTGCATTTTTTAGTCTTTTAGATTCAAAGTTTCTTTTCTTTTTCCTTCTTTTAAAAACTTTATTAACCCCACCCTTTCACAAGAAAGGTAATCTTTGTATGTTGTCATGTCAATTTTATTGTCTGAATACCTGCAGGTTAAAGCAGCTTACAAGAGGAAGGTTTGGGAATCTCATCCTGACCGATTTCCAGTTCATGAAAAATCTCATGCAGAGTGCAAGTTCAAATTGGTAAGCTTTTGGAGTCTAAGCAATTGAAGGTTTTTAGTATATATGTTTTGTGTTTAGTCAATGTTATTACAAGTTGTTCTGGATACCCTCATTTTATACCTCTTAGTTATATTCATATCTCCAAAAAGATTGTATGGTCAATTGGGATGCATTATGATGCATAAACAATTCATGTTACCCCAGGTATAGGATAAAAAAATTAGATACTTCGACAAATAACCATGCCACTTTGTCCCGGGATATTAGGGGAGGATGACCATGACATTTTGCCGCACAATTGCATCTTACATGCAATCTGGCATACCCAAGTCCTTGTGACGTGGACACTGCCACTGTCATTTTTAATGTTGGCTTCACTGAAACATCAGCCGAAGAACTTCACTTCATGAGCGCAAGTCCCAGAAATTTTAGTTTCTAACCTTTTGTCTGGATCTATCATTTTTGCCATAAACAATCCGTATAAATGCGGAATATTGTTGAGCGCTTTATTTTTCTGAACATTTTTTTCGGGTAGCATTCTTCACATGAGCTTGACCTTAATAACTGCACTTACTGCAGATTTCAGAAGCTTACACTTGCCTGCAGTCTGGTAATTCTCTTGTCTTTATGTATTTTGGAAATATAGTAAGTGGTTCGAGAGCATCATGGTTTGCTAACTCCCCAACAGACTAAAGAAGTTGCTGAACAGAATTCTAGTCTAAAGGAGCATCCTCATACATGACTGGATCAAGACATGGTCTACAAAAAACTTACTTTAAGCCTAAAAATCGATGAATTATCCTTGTACACTTTTTTTCCTTCTTGTATGCAGGGGAGTGGGGGTGGGTTAATGCGCCCTTCTAATCCTTGTACATATTTTTGGTTTAAATTTCATATTTTTTTATTAGCTGCAAGGTGGAGTGGTGGACGGGATGTATCCTTGGAGCTATGGCACGTTGACACTGGGTTTGTCGTTTATAGTACCCCTTTTCCATCTTCCTTAATTCTGCTTTCATTCTCTGCAACTCTTCTCTAAGTTCTGTTCATGAAGGGCGGTGGGATATTTCTCTATTTGAGGGAACTTGGGATGACTGAGCCTACTCCACTCTCCTAATTTGGTCTGCGGTGGTCGAACCATTTGCAGTGTTACTTAATTGGTCAAGCTATGGCACACTTCAGTATGTTAATTAAGTCGGAGCTGATCTTTTGGATGCAAACATTATCAAAGTGCATGTGATCAAATTCACAGCACAAGAGGAAACCGTTTGTCAGAGAAAAGATTGAATGACCTTACCCATGTTTACTACAACTCCCATCTCTAAGGATGCAGACAAGAAAGCTTGATCACTTCATCTCTCTGCACATTGTCATGCTGTATAGTGTGCTAGATGACTGGATTGTGGAGAGAGAGAAGCATACCATGCAAGAAGACAAGGTACCTTCTAGTTTTCTCGGGATTTTCTTTTCTCTTGCTTGTGACTTAGGTTCTGGTTCTAGTAATTGGGGAACTTGATCGAAATCCTTTGCCCTTTTTTAAAAGATCCTTTATAATGAGATGGAGCAATCTCGTGGAGATGGAACTGATGGGAATGAGAATGAAAATGGCAATGCAGAGGCAAGGAAGAGACTTACTGAAACAGCCCTGTTTTTTGTTGGTGGTGGTGGTGGTGGTTTTTTTTTTTGTTGGTAAATCTGTTGGCTGATTTTTCTAAATCAGTGGAGGTTAATCTTGCTGTTGTGACTTGCTACTACTAATGGTGACGATGTTCTTAATTTTCTTGATGGTGATTTGACTGATTAGTTTATTTTATGCCTCATCGAATTCAGATTAAGCACTGAGATAACAGGGGTTTGACTGGAGAGAGTGTTACTTGATATATCAATATCAAGGTATTCATTTTCAATGATTCACCAGTGTTGTTGGTTCCATTCACTTTGATGTATGATTGTGGTTTGTCAGGGTATTTCATTGCTAATTGCCAACTGACATGAGCAGGTCCTTTTGAGTCATTGATGAAAGTGTTAGCCTAGCCCAATGCACGAGGTTTCTGCCATTGCAAGGTTTGCGGAGGCTTAGATGTACGCAGTCTTACCTCCGCATGGGTGAGGGTTGGCCTTAGCGTAACGGTATGGCTGTTTGCGCAAACCATCCCCCGCACCGCACATGGACTAGCTCAACTAGTAAGCCTTTGGAGTTATTCTCTTTGGTTCGAGATTCACCAAAGGTGAGGCTAGGACTTAAATAATACACTTGGTTTGCGGGCGATTGCGTCCATTTGGAGTTTACAAACCATCTAAGAGTCCAAAGCGACTAGCATGTGGGGTTGATTCTTTGTTACCAAAAAAGAAACCCATCCCCCTGCCCTCGCCCTCTATCCGCAAATAAGGGCACTATGTCCAATCACTTATTGATTGTTCAAATGACTATCATGGGAGTCTTGTTCAGCAAGGGTCTGGGTTTGCAAACCATGATGCTAGTGCTGATTACCTTCTTTTAGTTGGATTTAGGTTTTGCCTGAAATTTTCATGTAAAATGACTGCAGGTGCAAGAGAAGGTTTAGCTCCAACTATGCAAGTTGTGAGAACTGGGGGAAGAAGAAATCATGCTTTGATAAGGTTTCCCTTCCTCTTAATCATTTTAGGAACAGTAGGTCTTGGCGGATTTAATGCTACCAGGTGATCAACTCTCTCAGTACCAAGGTGGCGTTTCTAGCTTTAGCTAAAATTGTGGGTGGGGACTAATGGTTGGACTTGTTTGATTGTGGTTTTCTTTTCAGGGCCTATAAACAGCAAAAGCAGGCATATCCTTCTCACAATCCTTTTCTCCCATGATCTGAAAATGGCAGCTGGATTCATGGTCATGGTTTTATCCTACATATCATGTTGTTGTCTTTAACATCCAATTATACCAGTAATTCATTAAATCCATTTCCATTATGGCAAACTATGTTGCCTCTCTAATTAACTATCTTATGTTTATTGTCATTAGCTTTTTCAAAAAAATTCTCAACAATTCATATATTTGGTCATGTAATTTACGTATTTTATTACTGTGGATTCACATTGCAGCAGAGAACAATCAAAAATCAGGAGTGATTAGACCGTTTAAATATTTGAGATCTAAGATTGGGGTGAAGCTTATAGGGGAGCAAAAAATAGCGCCACTAGTTTATAAGTGCTTATAATGGTTGAACCTAAATGAAAGCAACATGTGACTATGGGTGGGACATTGCAGGGCTATCTGCAGATCCTGAAACCTTTGTCAAGAACACACAGCTTGAGGTAATTCATTCCAGGCGGACCATGCTGGGGGCATTGGGATGCATCTCTGCCGAGCTTCTCTCTGGTGAGACGGTTTGATTCAAGGCTGGTGCACAAATCTTCAGGGAAGGTGGTCTCAACTATCTCGGGAATTTGATTCTTGCTCAGAGCATTTTAGCCATATCGGCCACCCATGTTATACTCATGGGTGCTATTAAGGGTTACCGCATTGCAGGAGGACCCCCTTACTAGCTGACGACCCAGATGCATTTGCAGAATTAAAGGTTAAAGAAATTAAGGATGGACGGACGACTCGCCATGCTCTCCATGTTCGGATTCCTTGTACAGGCTATTGTAACTGGAAAGGGACCTCTAGAGAACCTTGCCAACCATCGTGAATAATAATGATTGGGCCTACGCCACTAATTTTGTCCCAAGGAAGTGAGACCAGTTATCCAACCATTTAGTTTAAGTCCAGGCAAAAGAAGCTTAAATTAATTAAGTAAAATGTTACAAAAAATTGTCAATCTGCATGCTAACCTTTGCAAGTCAAACAAGAAAATAACAGCCTTACCTGAATACAGAACTTCAGGTGTTGAATGGTGGAGCAAACAACTGAGTTAATGACATGCTGTCAAATGCATTGGGTACGGGTAAATATAGGAGCAGTAACTGGAATTCAAGGTAATCCTGAATAATTTAGGTCAAACAAATTCATGTTGCAAAACCCCAAGACATTGACCTAGTTGGAAAAAGGCTTGATCCCTGGTGCCTCATGAACCATCAGCTCTCAAGATCGATTCTTCTGATCAATTCTTGCTGTGGGGAACTAGGGGAGGACAAAAATCATGTTGCAAAAAAAGGCTCTTAGCAGAAATTTCACTCCCATGTTCTGAAATACCATAGGTGATTTCCTGAGTGTACATCAGCACTAACCTTGAACACCCTACAAAAACCGGAGTTTAGAGTCAACTAATTAATTTTGACAATCTTCACAAGAAAACTTAAGATTGTCAAAATTAACCACATGTTGAAGATTGGTTTTAATGGAAAAACAAAAAAGTAAATAAAAAGAATTTCTCAATTAGAACACAATAGGCCATAATCTTAACTACATAAGGTCAAGTACATGAATCAAGGTTTAAGAACAAAAAGTAAATAAGAAAACATTTTAAGGAATAAAAATATATTGAATAATTCTTGAGGAATACCCACGACAAGCCAATTGTTCAAACTTCCCAAAACTTACCACTGATATGTTCTTGCACATTAGCAGTACACTTTGTATAAGGTCTCTCTAACCAGGACAATCTGAAAACTGCAGAATTCACCTTCTATTTGCACCAAAGATAAAACATATCTTATTCAGTAAACGAACTTCGTGATCCACCCAAAGTAGAAACCCCCATTATTCTCATAAATAACATCAAGAGAAAACAAAGACAGTACCTTACAACCTCCCAAATGTCCAAAGGGTTAGTACAAATCACGAGAAATGGGCACAATCTCTGCCATCCAAGCCACAGGATGCAGAGAACCCGACCATCTGCATCCCTCTTCCAGCTACTGCAATCTGATAGTAGTTTCTGGATAAGATATAAACAGCACCAGAAAGCCCAAACAACAAAATCATCAGGATCACAATTGTTAAACTAGAATGATTACTTCACAAAGGTGCTTATGGATGCAAGCTGATCAATAAATGATTAGATCACCTTCCACATGCTCTAGCATCCAAAGCTTCTGGCTCTGGCACACTAACAACTATATGAGCATGCTCAGTTAGTTTACCATGCTTATCAAGATGCCAACACCTGATGCGCTGATCAAGACCAATTGAGAACACCCAACATCCATCTGTCCAAATACCTTCACAAAATAAAATACAATCGTATTTCATCATCCGGCACAAATGTTTCAGGAATTTCTCCATAATAGACCTTGCTCGGAAGTTCTAGATGGTACAAGTCTGTACCTGAATTGTTGTAAATTAAAATACACACAAAAAAAAAAAAAAAAAAAAAAAAAAAAAAAAAAAAAAAGATTCACAAAATCCCATGAAAACCTTATACTTTCATGCAAGGCTTAGAAGTCTTTCTTACAATGGTGCATGGAAGAAAATAAAAATTTCTACCAAACTTATTAAGTTTAAGCCTGGTACCAAATGAAGGAAGATATACCACTGGAAAGTCAAATACTAATGAAAACACCCTCACATGTCCTCATTTTCCAGTGGACAAATAGTGTGAATCAATTAAATATACAGCATTTAATATTGTACCTTTTACAGCAGAGCTGTGAGCTGAAGCGATTTTGTCATGATATAAAAATCGGATTCTATAATTTTGGTTGTGAAAATGATCAAGGAGGTCCTTCGTACTTTCAGATTCAGAGGTACCATGTGCAATGTCTGGATTCATATTCTCAGAATACTGACCTACTGATAGAAAAGCCAACTCAAATCCAAGGCAGTGAAGTGATTGATCATCACCCCCACTTAATACATAGTAGAGAAAATCCGAGTCAGATGGTCTCTTGTTTTTCATATCTGAAACATTGAGACAATTGACCCCAGATTGGTGAACATTTTTAAAAACATGCAAGGGACGTATTGTACATATTTCCGATGAGTTTTTATCCGTGTTCACATCTGACCCAAAGGATGCATTACTTGAAGCTTGATAGCAAGCAGTCGCACTTTTTAAGGAATCAGCTAATTTTGATGAGGTTCCACATGCATCATTATTTAGGATGTTTTCTCTGGGACTGTCCAAGTTTCCCGGTGCGACGGAACCGTTGCCTGGTTTCTTCTTTGGGGTGCTGCTTCTCAAAGTTCTCCACCAACGTCCACCTTGGCTTCCTCTTCCAGTGCGAGGTCTTTTCTGACAATCAATAGACTTCTCTATTTGGAGATTTGACATCCCCCACATAAAAGTTTCAACACTTCCAGTTAGATCCCAAAAGGTAATACTGCCATCAGTGGATCCACTTATTACAAGATACACATTTCCACTCTGAATGTTATCTGTGAATCAAATTTTGAACAATAATCAATAACTCTAGGCAAGAGACACAATAGATTATATAAAGATAAAGAATGCGTTTCTTACAAAAGAAACATAGTGCAAAGGTAGGAAGGCCATTGCTCAACACTAGTCCAGCCTACACAGGGTATTGAGAGAGGAAGACTGGAGAAAGACCTAACATTTGACACTAATTTTGCACAAAGTGACCGATCTCAAGAGAAAACCCGTGTCATCACACTTGTCAGTTTGAGATTTTACTACAACAACCAATGACCCCTACTAGTATACTGTAAATATTCTAACCACAAAATGTCCAGCTCTAAATATTTTAGCATGGGAAATACAATAGAAAAATCTAAGCATTGGCAACACAGCGAGTCTTCATACTAGCTCTACATTCATGAAATTCCAGATGGCAGACATCATATCATCAACAAAGATAAAACAATCAACTGGGGCAAAACAATATGCGGTTAGGTTTTGAATCTGTTTTAAATGTTAAGCACAATTTATATTTTCTCCCTCATTCGCGGCCTATATATTTGAAATTCCTCTATCTCCCGAAAAAGACATTATATGGACTGGATTAAAAGGGTCACTAACTCCCTGGGTCATACTTAGTATCATCAGAAATCAGTGCTAGTTTCATTTCCAATAAACTCATAGTGCTGCCTTAAGCTACATGATTCGTTGTTGCTACAGAATGAGGAAGAGATCAAATATCTTTAGTTTCCACAATAGATAAAAACTCACCTTATATTTAGCTAATCTCATCCAATAACATAATAAACATAGGAAATTGGGTAATATTCAAGGATAAAAAATATAGGGTAAATTACTCTGACCTCCCCTGAGGTTCACCTTTATTACTTACATATTAAAGTTTTTGAAAAAGGAAGGTTTACCTTTATTATTCACATATTAAAGTTTTTGAAAAATAACTGGCACACCCTCTCAGAATTAACCATAGTTAAGAATGTTAACTTAAAATGTAAATTTACCAAAGAACCCTCAATTTTATTTGTGAATGGCATGCTGATGTAAGCCGGGCTTCTTTATTCAATCTCCCTTCTCACTACTCTCTCTCCTCTTCCTCACGATCTCATCGACCACCGCCACAGCCACACCATCTTCACCACCACATCCACCATCTTTACCACTACCACCACAACATAGTCACCATCTTCACTACCACTATCTCTCTTCCTCTTTATTTTTCTTTGCCGATGCTGCCACTTCTGGCCTCATCCCTCTTCCTCCACCATCACCATCTCTCTGCTGACTGAGAAAATTATTTAATCTATTGAAGAATTCGAAGGATTGTATGGGGGATTAAACAAACCCAGACTTGATTGGGGTCCAAACCCTTATTTTCAATCATCACAGCCACCATCCCCGCTGCTCCAAGAAGTCGAGCCCAGGGCCACAACCACCACCAACATCGACCTTCAAAATCTATCATTGGACTCCAAGACTACCAGATCGACATGAGGAAGTGTATGTTCTTGTATGTGTATGTTTATAAGTGGGTTTCAGTTTCGATTCTTTGCAGTTTATATATATATATATATATTTGGTTGAATTTGATACCAATTGATGGGCAAATGTGATCCTAATCGATTGGAATATGAATTTGGTGCGGATTTATCCATGAATTTCGAGTTTCAATCCATGTCTGTATATGTGTATAGGTGGGCTTCGGGCTTGGGTTCGTTACAGTTTCTGATTGAATTTTTGGTTGATTTTGGTTACTTTGACAACAACTCATGGCCAAATATGATTCCAGTTGATTTGATTATGAATTTGGTTCAGTTTGATTATGTACTTTTATCATGTATTTTTATCATGTATATGCAAGCTTGTACATGTATATAGATAGGTGTCAAGTTTCAGTTGATCATGTGTTTTTATCATGTATATGCAAACTAGTATATGCATATAGATAGGTTTCAAGTTTCAGTTCTTTGCAACCTTCCGAAAAAAGAAAAAAAAAAAAGTTTCAGTTCTTTTTACTGAAATATGAGTTCAAATGTTAGAATGTTTCAGTTCTTTAATTGACTTATGGATCACAGTTCATTGTGTGATTTGGGCTTGAGATAGGAAATAAAGAGAGGAAAAGAAACGAGATGGGGGAGTTTTACGTGTTGTGCCGACAAATGAAGTAAAAGTTAGTAAAGGTTAGTTTTGGTATTTTAGTTTTGTATCTAACTGACTTCTAACTCGTTTAATATGTGTTTCAATTTTAATTATTAGGGTGACAGTGAGGTTTGAATTTAGGACCGTTTGGCTTTGATACAATTTTAATTAACATCTTTTATTTTAAATCCTCTAACTGTCCGAGAGGATGTAAATTTAATATTTATATCCTCTAACAATCCTACATGTGCATACATATACACACAACAAACCGCATTTCAAATGACACGTTATGCTCTCAATTTCATGTTGAATTAAATTGTTTGTCACATTCAGCAATATCAGTGTGTGATTCTAGAACCTAAAGGTGGGTTGGGAGTGGGGACAGAAGACGAGGATAACTGAGTCATGTTCAAATTGTAACGACCAAGGTTTTTGGTTTCATGAGCAACAAACAAACGATGCATATGGAATATTGAAAATCTAGGGCATTCAGTGAAACATAGGTGTTTCAGTAAGTCCCGCCTGAAATTTCATGTGACAACAGGAATCTTAACTGGCTAGTTCAAAATTTTCCAGAAAAAGAAGGAAATTGAATGATTAGGGGCCAACAGATTTCTTCAAGAGAAGCAAATATACTGAAACGGTGAAGAGAGGAAAAGCCATGACTAGAGATTACCACAATAACTAGACTTTTAAGTTATTCAGCTAAATATGAAAAATTCAAACAACGGACTAACCTTCAGATGGCAGACATGTAGGAATGATGACATGCTGCAATGCTAAAACTGGTGATGAAAGGGGAACCAACAATGCAACATCAAACCTGAAACAGGACAAGGAAAGAAAGAAGAATGCCAGGTAAGATATGAAGAAAACAATAATTCAAGAAGGAATTTTTTGTAAACCATTGAGTAAACCAAGCGATGGGTAGCTTAATGCATACCAAAGCCGATAAGGTAATAGGAGAGCCCGTAAAGCAAGTGTGGCATCTGAACAAGCAACAACAACGAAACAGACAGTTTTCCTGAAAGGTGACAAATTTGAGATGATGTTATAACTTTGGAACTGATTTCCAGAGTGAAAGAAGAATAAGCACAAAACATTATTATTATCTCACTCCACCTGGAATAAGCAACTTTAACAAGAAAAGCAGTAACAGCCAGGTATCTCCAGTCATTTTCGCATTTATCCCCAAAGCAACTTTTTAATTCCATCTTCCCCCTTTCTGAAAAAACTGATCCAGATAGTGCATCAGAAACTATACCGGAAACATTTTCAGTTCCATTTTCATTCTCATTGTTATCTCTTATTTCATGAGTGCTACTATACTTGGTAGGCATATGGGAGGAAAGCCACTGGAACGACATTGACGGGAACACTCCTGAAGAAGGCTTAAAGTCATATTCAGTTCCATTATCTGTCCCATCAGCAAGCACTTCTTGCTTGATGTCTCTAATTGAATATTTCTGTTTCCATGTAGTTAGGACCCGCTTTGCACCAACTGAAATTAGCAAGCAAGGGCTCTCTTTGTCCTCCAATGCTGCATTTTGGCCACTTATCCCATTAGGCATGCTGGTTAAATCAGCAGCAATCTTGTGTATCTTCGAAATAAAGCATATTGATCTCACTGCAGAGCCGCCAACATGTTCCCCTAGCAGTTTTGATGCAGACCAACTCTCAACACCCGAATCATACCTGAGTATTTTCTGTTCCATTAGCTTGCCAAATTTTATTGCACCTAAAATTGTTACTTCTTGTTTGGAGGAGTCAAATGTCAAGCATATTTAAAATAAAAAAATAAAAAATAAATAAAAAAACTAGTACTATAGAGCTACATGCATTGTGCACATGCCATTGCAATCAGGCTTGTAATGGCAAGTTCTAGGTAAAGTAAAAAAAAAAAATCAATAATACAACATGATATTTAGGAACAATAATTGTGCATACAATCCTGACTCAGGTTTCCAAACACATACTTTGTCAACCTCACAGTTCCATCTTCACATCCAGTTGCAATCCAAATGGAATCAGAAACAAGCCCCAGCTTTTCATTTGAATTGAATTGTAAATCTCCAGATATAAAACATAAGGAATGCATTTCTCTCCCATGGAATTGCAAATGAAAATTCTGAGGATATATCTTCCTCTCACTGTCTGTTATCCAGTATCTATGAATATAGATGACCTCGTCCTACAAAGTAAGGCAGCAATTATAAGAATGAAACCGAACTTCTGAGACATACTGTAACGATATGCTTTATTATCAACATGAAAATGCGAGAATGTTGCTTAGTAGCCCCAAAGCCCCAAGCATCTTTGACCATATAGTTTCTAATGAAGCTTTTTCAAGGTATACGAAACAGGTCCAATGTTTTCAAAAACAAAGGAATAGAAAAATAAAACTATAGGAAAATGATATATATCACCTTAAAAAATTAATAATAATGCGCCCATATAGCCGCATCTTATCACAAATTAGGATCTCATCAAATTGTCATATGATTCTAAAATATGATTTCGAAGGTAAAAATAGACAGCTAGAATTGAAGTCTAGCGATGAAGAGAACCCACTTTATGAAATCAAATGAAATTTAGTTGAGGTTCTAATTTGTGAATTCTCCTTCCAATTTAAGAAATCCATGCCGTGTGATAATCTGAAATGAGCCCACAATGAATGTTCGTGATCTGTACCATGACTTTTTTGTTTCAAGATGTCTTACAGAGAAGAATAAAATTAAATGAAGGAGCTAACAAGTTTATAATTTTGTTTCTGTAAGCAGGGGACATGTCAAATTTTATATCTTTTGGCCAAAAAAAGACAGGACCAGAAACATGCAGAGGAAGATCAAAGATGACCCAACCAATTATAGACAACATGCGAATGCTGAGCATGGGAATAGCATTTGATCAACAAGGGCAGTGATTAGAGAATAATGGGCTGACAGAGCACCCTGTCATCACCAAAATCACATTCGAATTGTTCTGATTCAATTTCACTAAGCCTTTGCAGCCACCTGTCAAGACACGGGTGCGTTTCTACCAACAAAAATTTTCTTTGTTGTATAGGTTAATCCTCTGGTACACATGCTGTATTCACGGATTGCAGCCCCTTTTAGCTGCCTTTAAATAAAATTACTTATAGAAGAAGAAGAAATGAATAAAGTTCCAGTGCAATGTCCCATGTGATGCTCATAAGATATTTACTAATGATACAACACAATGAAATTTTCATTAAATCTGATCATTTGTTAGGGTCAGCTACTTGCACAAGTTTCTTAACTATCTCAATTATTGCATGTGCATGACAAAAGCATAGTTGACTAAACAGAAGATAATTGTATATTGTTTTTTTTTTTTCAAATTAGAGAGAGAGAGAGAAGACCAAACCTTGACAAATGCAAAACAGCTCTTCAATTCCGGTACATCACCAAGATAATAAGAATGAGGACGCCGCCATCCACCACATGGAACTTGGAAAACCTGCACCACATGAGTCTCAGCAAATGACATCAAAATCAACTTAAATAGAGAGAGAGAGAGAGAGAGAGAGAGAGAGTACCTTCCGTTCAGTCGTTAAGTTCCATATTATAAAATTGGCTGATGCAAAGCCTATTGCATAGTTGCCACTAATCAAATCATCACAAGAGTTGGCATTGGCGACAGATCGTATAAAACTCATTTCCTTTATTTGTTTCATCCCAATAAATTCCAAATTTGGTCGATCTTTATCATATTCCAAATAGCATATGCATCCATCTGCTCCAGTCTGAATAAAAATGAAATAACAAAAGAACTAACAAATAAACTCCACATACAATGAAGTATGTTACACATTTTTGTCTACATAAATAAAATATGTTATTTTTGCAGAATTTGAGTGGTTTCATAAGAATGCCTTCTCAGTTGCTATTTGACAAAAATAGAAACAAAATTTAGATGACCCACAAACCTTTTGATTGGTCAAAAGGTCAAAGCCTCTATGATCAAATCAAAGTTAAATACTCATAGTTAAGCGCACGAGTGTAGGTCCTGCTGGAGACATGTGCTGAGATCTCGAGGCCAAGGCTTGTATGAGAAAATTTGACAAATCAAAATTAAAATTTAAAATAATCCAAACAAATGGAGACAAGTTTCTCCCATTTTATTTTGGAATTATAATCAATTTCATTGAAATTTCTTAATTGAACACACCATAAATTAGTGCATGAATACAAGACCTTGCAATACAAGCATGGATAGAGACATTTAGAGACCAAGAGATTAGTGAACTTGAAACTATGTCTTTCTACCAAGTCAGGTCCCAACACCCTCAAACTCAGAAATACTCTCCATATCCAACTTCAAAGACTTGGAGAAATTCTTAATTATCTGATTTAGGAACAAGCTCGTCAGTCTTCAAACGAAGATGCACGGAGGAGAATGAATCACAAATTATTACTTGTGGCTAAGGATATATCATAGAGGATTCTACTGATTTTTACAAAACAGGAAATAAGTAATATCTTTTCCGTGTTTTTAGTTCTTGATTTTCAGACTAGAAATTTATGTCTACAAAGAGGAAGATAATGAAGAAGGAAAAACATCCAACTATGCTGATCTCACTTTCCTTAAATTTACTTTCTACTTCTTGTGAGAATTTCAAGAGGGGAATTTTTTTTTTTTTTTAATTCCTTAATTTCTTTTTCTTTTGGTAATTAAATTACTTGAAAAGCAAGGATTGTGAGACATTAAAGAAGCTTGAATTCAGGCCATACCGAACGTATCTGAATTTGACTGGAAATAAATCTAGCTATCGAAATGCTGCACACACTCGATATCCCATGAGCTCCTTTGAAATAATTTAGTGGAGATATTTTCACTTCTGAAGCAACAGATGTACCCAACAGTAGGCCCTTTGACAAAGGGAATAATAGCAAATTACCACGTAGATCCCCGCACAACAGCATCTGAAAAAAATTAACCACGAGATCTAGTAGATCGATAAATAGATTTATCATAAAAATTAAAAATTCATAAAGCAGTAAGAATTTCATTAAATCACATTCGAACTTAGCATGCTAGACGTTCTTGATTTTTAATGAGTTGTGCGCCTATTTAATCAATTTGTTGTCTCATCAAAATAACAATTTGAAAGACCATGTTCTCTGAAAGAATTTCAATATTTCTTGCACAAAGACCAAATTTTTGTTTCCTAGTGTTGTTGCGGTCAACTCAGAATTGGAAACACACACACAAAAAACAAAAAATTGAAATGACGTAAAGTCTGGAAAAGCTTGGAAATATAAGGTTGGATTTAGCTCCGAGTAAATACAAGCCATTAGGAGATTAATTGAATTCGTTTGAGGTACTTATATATATATATATATATATATATATATATATATGTTTGAGGTCTACACACTCATCCACATTAGAGGACACTGGTTTGGAAATGAAAAGTAAGCTATGTCAATAAGAAGACATCTATCAAAGTAATGTAGAACAACTATACAATGATATTTCTTAGATACATGAAGTATCTTTAAAATTAATTTGATACCCATATGGGTTGGACAGTTAAGAATTTTATTGTTAATATTGAAATAAATAACATTATTTTTCTTAAAATAAACACAAACCTGGAACTCAAACTTTTATTTGACTATTAGATTTTAGTTGATTTGAGGGTAGGCCTTGACATAATGGTAAGGTTGCTCTTTTGTAACCTGTTCGAAACGACAAACAGCCTCTCCTCATTGTAGAGCTAAGGCTGTACATATCTAACCCTCCCCAGATCCCTCAGTGACGAGAGCCTCATGCACTGGACTAGCCCAGCAGATTTCTTAGTCAATCTAGTGATCTGCTTACAGGAAATACTTGCGCTATCCATCACAATACCATAGATCATACTATATCAAAACCAATCCAACAAAGTCTTAATTGTCAAGAACTACTTAAGCAGGAAATATAAAAAATAAAGAAAAAATTATCTTGTCTTTTTTCCCAATTAAAAGGGCCTGTCATGGTTTCAGTAATTTCATTGCATGACATCTTAATCAAATAAGGTTTGAAACTTTTACAAGATCGGGTGTTCCTTATACCCATTGTTTATTTCATAAGCCAAGGGAAAATAAAAATAGAAAGAAACGAACTGTATGCATCCACCTATTAAATGTCATGCCTATTCAAAACCATAATGGACTAAACGGTTTTTGCTTATTTTTCCTTTGCTCTTCCTCTCTTCTCTCCCTCTTCATCTTCCCTTTCCTCAAAAAATCTGAGATATTGGCCTTGACTGTTTATTTTTCTTTTTCTCTTTGTGAAGAGACGTTGGAAGCTACTCCCAATTAATACCGGTGTTAGAATGTTTATATATATATATATATATATGTTGGGTCATTATGTAATTACATATAGTTGGTAGGGCCCTTGTGTTATTAAGTAAGACTTGTATCCTTTATATAAGCCTACATAGGCTTATTAGGGTTTGTGTGGAATATACAAGTTACCATCTGCTCTCTCTCTCATGATTTGAACATAGTATCAGAGCTACACGAATTCATGGGTGTGAGAGTCTGTAATTGTGTTGTTCTTGTATAAGATCGGAATCATGACCGTGGTGCTGGTGTCTCTGCCTCGTTCGTCTTCACCGGCAGCTCCTCGTTCACCATCGTCAGATCTGAAGCCTCGTTCGTTGTCGTCAGATCTGAAGCTTGTTTGTCGTCGTCTCTGCCTTGTTCGTTGTAAAGTATTAGACTTTGTTATATTTTATCCTACTTCTTGTGTGTTTCGGGATCTCAAGACGAAGAAGAAGATTGGTACTGGGCATGAAGTTGGTGGCTTATATTACTTTGATTTGGAACCTTATCCTGTGGCTCTTCAGTCTTCTCTGTCTCCATTCCAGTGGCATTGTCGTCTTGTTCACCCGTCACTTCAAGTTTTGCAGCGTCAAGTTCCTAATCTTAGTCATTTGAAATTCTTGCCATGTGAAGTTTGTCAACTTAGTAAGCACCATCGCGTGTCTTTCAAGTCTAGGGTTAATAATCGTGTCTCTAGTCCTTTTCATTTGGTTCATTCAGATGTATGGAGTCCAATAATGCATTCTTCAATCAATAAATTTCATTATTTTGTGACATTTGTGGATGATTATTCTCGCCTGACTTGGTTGTTTCTAATGAAAGATCATTCTGAGTTATTTATAATTTTTCAAAAACTTCGAAAAGAAATCAAAACTCAGTTTGGATGCGCAATTCGTATTCTACGTTCTGATAATGCTAAGGAATATTCTTCAACCCCCTTTGATACATATCTTAGTGATAAAGGAATTATTCATCAAAATTCATGTGTTTATACTCCTCAACAAAATGGAGTTACATAACGTAAGAATCGACACCTCTTAGAAGTAACCCGTGCTCTTTTGTTTCATATGCGTATGCTTAAACGGTTCTGGGGTGATGCTGTTCTACTGCCTGTCATCTTATTAATCGTATGCTGTCATCTGTATTAGATGGCAAATCTCCACATTCTATTTTATTTCCTGATTCTCCCTTGTTTTCTCTTACTCCTTGAGTTTTTGGAAGTGTATGTTATGTCCACAATCTTGGTCCTGGTTTTGATAAACTAGACCCACATGCCACAAAGTGTGTATTTCTTAGATACTCTCATTCTCATAAAGGTTATCGCTGCTATAGTCCTGTTTCTCAACGGGACTTTATTAGCGTGGATGTAACCTTTTGTGAGTCCATCCCATCTTTTTCAGATACTGATTCACTTCTTGATATCACTTTTGAGTCGCCTCTTCCTGCGGTTCCTCTTCCCTCACTTTCTCTTCAACCTAGATCTCCTTCGCCTGCCCCGTTACAGGTGTACACTCGAAGACCAAAGCCATCTGTTGTCGTGCCTCCTCCATCGTCTTCAGAGTCTTTGGATCCAACACAATCCACTGTGTTTGATTCCTTGCCTATTGCACTTCGTAAAGGTACTCGCTCGTGTGTCACTAATCATCCCATTGCTCATTATGTCTCTTATAATTCCTTATCGCCATCCTTCTCATGTTTTTCCTCTCAGTTGTCTACTACATTTGTTCCTAAGACTATGCAGGATGCTTTGTCTGATTCGGGTTGGAGGAAAGCAATGCAAGATGAAATGGATGCTTTGCGTCAAAATGACACGTGGAATCTTGTTCCATTACCTCCAGGTGCCAAACTTGTTGGTTATTGCTAGGTATATACTGTGAAGTATCTTCCAGATGGGTCAGTTGAGCGTTTAAAAGCACGTCTTGTTGCCAAGGGTTATACCCAGACTTATGGTATTGACTATGATGAGACGTTTGCCCCCGTTGCTAAGATTTCTTCTATTCGTGTTTTGATTTCTCTTGCTGCTAATAGACATTGGCCTCTGTTTCAGTTAGACGTTAAAAATGCCTTTTTGCATGGTGACTTAGCAGAAGAGGTTTATATATAGCAACCACCTGGGTTTGTTGCCCAGGGGAAGTATCTTCACACTGTTTGTCGCCTTAAAAAGGCCCTGTATGGATTGAAACAATCTCCACGGGCTTGGTTTGGAAAATTCTCTGAGGCGGCATTAAAATTTGGTCTTACCAGATGTCAGACCGACCATTCAGTATTTTACCAGCGCAATAAAGCTGGCTTTATATTTCTTGTGGTGTATGTAGATGATATTGTGATCACAGGTGATGATTCTGAAGGCATTGCTAAGTTAAAGTTGTTTCTGCAATATCGATTCCACACTAAAGACTTGGGTAAACTTAGGTATTTCTTAGGTATTGAAGTTGCTAGATCCAAGAAGGGTATAAGTTTATCCCAACAAAAATATGTGTTCGACTTATTAGAAGAAACAGGTATGTTGGGTGGTCGTCCGGTTGATGCTCCTATGGATTCAAATACAAAACTTGTGTCTGATGAGGGTATCTATTTAATGACCCGGGCAGATTTCGCCGCCTTGTTGGGAAATTAATTTATCTCACTACCACTCGGCCTGATATTTCATACGCAGTTAGTGTTGTAAGTCAGTTCATGGGAGCCCCTAGAATGCCATATTGGATTGTTGTTCTTCGAATTATCCGATATCTCAAGCAAGCTCCAGGTTTTGGGTTACTATATAAATCAAATGGTCATCTCAGGGTGGAAGGTTTTACAGATGCCGACTGGGCTGGTTCTCTTTCAGATAGGAGATCTACTAAAGGCTACTGCACATTTGTAGGAGGAAATCTTGCTACATGGCGAAGTAAAAGGCAAATGGTGGTAGCTCGATCTAGTGCTGAAGCTGAGTATAGGGCAATGGCCCATACCACTAGTGAGTTGACATGGATACAACATTTTCTAAAAGAACTTGGGTTGACAGTTGAAGCTCCTACTCCATTGTTCTGTGATAATCAAGCAGCAGTTCACATTGCATCAAATCATGTGTTTCATGAGAGGACCAAACATATTGAAGTTGATTGTCACTTCATTCGAGAAAAAATATTACGTGGCAGCATCTCTACTCCATTCGTGAAGTCTGAAGATCAATTAGCTGATATGTTTACGCATTGGGTGATAACCGGTTAAGAACTATCTGTTCCAAGCTGGGATTATTTAATATATATTCTCCAGCTTGAGGGGGAGTGTTAGAATGTTTTATATATATATATATATATATATATATATATATATATGTTGGGGTCATTATGTAATTACATATAGTTGGTAGGGCCCTTGTGTTATTAAGTAAGACTTGTATCCTTTATATAAGCCTACATAGGCTTATTAGGGTTTGTGTGGAATATATAAGTTACTGTCTGCTCTCTCTCTCATGATTTGAACAACCGGCATGGTGGATTTCAAACAAACTGGCAATATTTCGGGCTAATTATACAAAAATGATTTCATTTAGGTCAACATTCTAGATTATTGAGATTGTTTGTGGGTTTCATGTCAGTTGCTGGCGAAACTGAAAAGTCAAAATGTTTCGGCCTGGGAAAAAATATCAAATATTGTTCCTCAATAAGATTAAATTGAAAAGAAAAAGAAGTATTGGACATTATGGGATGATCGGAGATATTGAACCAGACATCCCTTGGTGTATCAATAAGTTGACCAATATATATAATATCTACCACAATAGGTGAAGGAATTTCCTGAGATTTCAAAATTATAACCTTTTATTACTCGTATATCATTACATCACAAATATTGACAATGAAATCTTCATATTGTGATCTATCAGCCCATATCATTAACTTTCAACAGTTTCTAGGTCCACATTCAAACATTTTAAAATATATATCTATACATTATATATATATATAAATCATTGGATGTGAACATTGACCAGATACAAAATCAGTCAAAAAATAAGTGTGAACATGTTATCCAACTAAGGTGACAAGTGTCAAGCTAAAAATTAGATGGGATACTAGAATATATTAGTTATGTCTTGGTGATGCTAATATATGCAGTTTGACAACTCAAATTCAATTGTAAATTGCCAGAGAACATTAAAGTAAAGAGCCCATTGCAGAACCGTAAAGTGAAAATGAAATGAGAAGAAGAAAGAAATGATAAAAAAAAAAAAAAATACCTCTTCCTCAAGTGATGCATCCAAACACATTATCCGTATTCCAAAACATGACACAAATTCAGCTATTAAAGAGACAGCACAACTAGAATTGTATGGAACAGAATGTAGAGGATCACATAGCCTCCATAACTTCAAAGTCCCCCTAGGATCAGCAGTGAAAATGAACCTACACGATTAGAACACCAGAAACTCATGAGCTTTTATAATAAAGGAACAGTAGAATGATACATCCCAACTAACAACATTCAACCATTTGTAAGGCGGTAAAACAATGCATAAATTCATCAACATGTTATGGATCTCCATTCAAGTCGCACGCACTTTGTGTTTGCCACACATACCAATTTAATGATCATAATACATGACTTGCTAAGGTTTGTTAGGCTAGTAGCATAACAATCATGCGAGGAAACATAGTTGACACTTAAATCATCAATCAGTTTACCCTTTGAGCTAAAGATATTTACTGGCAGTTCAAGGGGGATGATGAAGTCTAATGTGTAAAAGACTTGGATTAAAGGAAAGGTAGTTTAACCACAATAATATTACAAAGCTATGGATTTACCATTACCTATTACTCAATGACTTGCACCAATAGGTTCCCAGTAGTTGTCTCTCTATTCCAGCTGACCAAGTAAAATCGAGGCATACTTTAGGATTACAAACATCACCAACAAGTCTGACAATCGTCATGTTTCCTTTACCATCTCCAACAGCAACCCAATCATCAATACAGCTCGAAACGTCAGATGGTCTTCTGGATAACAAGTCCATGCAAACAATTGGTACCTTTTCACTGACTCTGACAAGTACGGTCCATTTTACATCCCCAGTATCAGATAGTTTAGCGTGGTACAGATAACCATTGTTTGTGGCAACATAAAGGGTATCTTCACTTGAGAAATGCAAGCATCGTACATATTCACTTTTGCTGCAAAAAAACCAAAGGAAACAAATGCCAGAAAATAAAGACTGAGGTAGAATGATCTAAATGAGATAAGAGTATGTAAAGCAAGCAAACTTAGAGTAAATATTAAGGTATGCAGACAGTATGAAAGATATGTCTCAGCAACTTAGCCATATGAATGTTTGTATTCCCACTCTCTCAACCTCCATAAATACCATTTCCAGTTCTTTAACTATTCAAGACAATATGAAGAAGATATGGCTAGGACCGTCTTAACATGTCACCGACTTAGGGGACATAAATTCCCACAAATATGCATGGTAATGCCATTACTCTGAAAGAACTCATGCACAATCCACAGAATGGGTATACTATGTTTCCCAATATATTACAAAGAGGGTTTCCATTGACAAATACATTCTGTTTTTCCACTCACTTCAGAAATAAAAGTTATAATGCATTAAAACTTCAGAAGCTTACGAGGCATCAAAGGAACATCCCATTCTACAGCATTACCTGTCCACGAGTCCAATATGCTGTGATGAAATCGGGATACGAACAGTGAAGAGTGATCTTTCAGTGAATTCTTTTACCTCCTCAGAAAGTCTCACTGAGCTATTTGACAAAGAAGCAGGCAGCTGATGTACTTTTATTGCAGAGTCAAAACCAGCAGTAACAAGAAGTGAAGAATTTGGATCGTACAAACATCGCCATATTCCCCTGCCACTGCACAGTAACAAAAAGTGTAACAGTAACTTTTTACACGTTAAATGTTACTATGATTAATGGAATCAGTTAAATATGGACTACTTTCACTTGACATGGATACATGAGCTAGCTAAGGCGCGTTGGCTAACATGCTCATTCAGCCACTCATAACCGTGTATTGTAAAAGCCAAAAAAGAGGAAAAATTACAATATCAGCAAAACCAATGGAATCAAGGTCACAGTAAGACTACTCTGACCATGACACCACAAAGACTGAATTCAAAAGGCAGGATAATGAAGAATGATCTTGGATCAAAACATCATAAGCTATACTGGATCAATATAGAGTACAGATAAACATATCTTAGACAGGACTAAGAATCGAAGTGTTAAGGGATATAGCCAACAAAAACCGAATTAGTTACACTTCATACCTCTTTTGAAGCAGTAAAAGTATAGAGATGCTAGCAAATAGTAGATTTGCTTTTGTGGCTTTATGAGATATAAAGCACTCTAATAAGCCACAAGGGAAATATGTAATTGATGTGTATCCTCAATCAGAAGAATATAGGCAAAAAGGAAAGGCTAAATTACACTAACACCCCCTGATGTTTACCCTAATTACACAAGGAGGCATTGTTTGGAGACACCTACACTCACAACACCCCCTGATGTTTGGCATGTGATTTCAATGACACCCCTGTCGTCAGTGAGCCCTCTATTGGGTACTCTGACACTACGAAATGACATTTTTACCTCTTCTATGATGAAAGACTTGCCTAACCTCAAAAACTTGATGGAAAAGGCCAAATCACCCTTCTTGACTTTTTCAAATATACCCAAGTACCCTCACCCTCCTTTTCAGTTTGGCATGTAATTTCAATGACACCCCTATCGTCAGTGAGCCCTTTGTTGGGTACTCTGACACTGTACAAAATGACATTTTTACCTCTTCTTGGTAAACGACTAACCTCAAAAACTTGATGGAAAAGGCCAATTTACCCTTCTTGACTTTTTCAAATATACCGAAATACCCTCACATTCCTTTTCAGTTAAAAACCATGTATATGTATCCACTGATATTAATTGTATTTTACAAAAAATACATATTTATATAATATTTTATAGACTAATTAATACGTAATTACAAAAAATACATCTTTAAGGGACGCGCTCCCCCTTTGAACGCCTTTTTATTTCATTATTACTTATCAAAAAAAAAAAAAATTCAAAACTTGTAAAATTGCTCACTACCAGCAACAACATAACCAGGTGGTATCCATGTAAACCTCCTCCTATAGCTCACCATGAAGAAATGCATTCTTTATATCAAGCTGGTATAAGGGCCAAGAACAACAAACTACCACAGAAAGAAGAACTCGTACAGAATTGAGACAGGCTACAGGAGAAAAGGTCTCTGAGTAATCAAACACCATAGGTCTGTGTGTACCCTTTGGCAACTAAACATGCATTAAGACGCTCCACAATACCATCAGGAAGATACTTAACAGTGTAAACCCAACGACAGCCAACAGTTTGTTTCCTAGCATGGAGAACAGTAAGCTCCCAAGACTGATTCTTGTGAAGAGCACTCATTTCCTCATCCATAGCGTGTTTCCATCCAGAAATAGATAAAGCCTCCTTTCAAGAAGAAGGAGTAGGAACAGATGACTAGGTAAAAGCAAAAGATTGCAAGGAGGAAACAAAATTAGCGATGGGATGTTGAGTACAAGTACTATAACTCGGTGTAATGAATATTTAATTAAAGAACTTCATTTTTGAAGTTTTGGAACACAATAATCAAGTTTCATTCTCAACAACTCAGAATAGGCAATTACAAGTTCATGACTTACATGTGCTCCTTGATCATCTTGAGCTGATTACCATCTGGTCCCCACACACGACATGTACAATCCTCACCGGCAGTGATAATTAACTAAGTAAAGCCCCATGAAGAAGGTTAGTCCTGGAACTACTGATGTTATTACATTTGAAAAACAAAACAAATGGTAAAAAACCAACATTGTATATCAAATCATAAACTATACTCAGCTCTGGAAAAATACAAGAAACAACAGGGACAATGCATTGATACATACCTTCAGTCCATGAACTGTGGTAGTAAAGTCATATGCAACAGGAAGGAAAAAAAAAAAAAAAAAAGGGCGTATGCAAGTCATTGCCATTCCTTGAGGGAAGGCCTCCTCACCTATCTCTAAAATTATGGATGTATAAACAAGGAAAACAAGACCATGGCAAAAGTAGCCAAAGCATCTGTAGTAGGTGGAACAACCACAAAAATATGAGAATCTCAAAGTTGCACAGCATATCATTGACCATATTCTAGTTGTTTACATAAAAATGTTGCTAGCTAGCAACCAAATGGCAGAACATTGAATTATAATTGAAATTAAAACTAAGAAGCAATTTGAATATATATATATATACACTACTAATAAAAGTGGATTCATTTTCTAATATTTATATACATTTTAAAACACTTCATTTATTTAAAAAATTTATTTATGACTTTTCAGGTTTTCAATTCCGCTGTTATGCACCTTTTGATTCTTAAACGTCGTACTTTTTAGGATTTCAATGTTTTTTGATATTCCATGCCAATACACTTTTACACCTTTGGATAGATTTTTAATATGATTTTTTTTTTTTGATAAGTCACATACTCTCTAGATACTCTTCTATTTTATACATTTTGCTTATCAAGTTGTCTTCTTAAAGAAAAGAGTTTCTTATAAAAGTAGATTCATTTTCTAATATTTATATACATTTTAAAACACTTAATTTATTTAAAAATTTTATTAATGACTTTTCAGGTTTTCAATTTCCACTGTTATTCACCTTTTGATTCTTAAAAGTTGTACCTTTTAGGATTTTAAGGCCTTTTGATATTTCATGCCAATACAATTTTACACCTTTAGCTAGATTTTTAATATGAATTTTTATATTTTTTTTTTTTTGAAAAGTTACCTACTTACCCACTAGCACCTGTTTGCAAAGCCAAAAAAAATACACACACACTCTCTAGATACTCTTCTATTTTATATATTTTGCTTATCAAGTTGTCTTCTTTTAGAAAAGAGTTTCTTTTAAATTCACACACTTATTCACATTAAACACCCTTTTTTTCATGGTCAAAGACTTTTTGTGCAGATAAAATATATCACCTCTATTATTATTTTTTTTATTAAAAAAAATAATTCATGCCAATACAATTTTACACCTTTAGATAGATTTTTAATATAAAAAATAAATTTTTGAAAAGTTTCCTTAACTACTGGCACCTATTTGCAAAGCCGAAAAAAAAAACACACACACACACTCTCCAGACCCCTTTTCTATTTTATATATTTTGCCTACAAAATTGTTTTCTTTTAGAAAAGAGTTTCTTTTAAATTCACACACTTATTTGTATTAAACACTTTTTTTTTCATGAATACTTTCTATCCAGTTAAAATATATCACCTCTCTATTTATAATTTTTTTTATAAAAAAAATAAGTGGGATATTTCAATTCCCTAATTTACTCTTTGTATACTCACTTACTCTGTGAAAGAAATATGAACGGTTATGAAGAAAGTTAGTGGTAAAAACTTTTTATAGTTGAACAGATGTATCATTTCATGAATAGGTGTTGTAGCCTATAAATAGAATAGTAGTCCAATAAAAACAATATACGTTTTACATCGTCCTCTTTGTTTCTTTTTTAATCTTTCTTCCTTTGTCCATCCAATATACTATCTCATTATATATATATATATATATATATCTTGAATTTATGAGCAACATGTCAATGGAAGACTTGATAAATGTTATTCAACATGACAATTGTCCTGAGTCTCCCGACTCTCCAAGAGGCCAGAAATAAGTTTCTTACTCTCTCTTATTCTAATATGCCTTTTATTGATATTTTACTGGACTATTATTATTTTATAATGTTTTATTTGAACTATTTATATTATGTTAGAACAAAGTGTTTTAGCCTCTTTATATCTTATTTGCGTATATAATGTGTTTATTTTTCCATGTTGTTTTTCTGTCTAATTCTGTATTCCTTTCTTGTTTAATTCTCTAGAAAATGTTGTTCTTTCATATACGTTCTCTAGTTTGCCTAATTCTCTCCAAAGTATTTATGATTCCGTTATATAATGTCTTTATATTTGGAAGAGATTTTTGAAAGTGTGTTCCATGGAGATGTAGGATAAGAATACGGAGAAATTAAGAAACACTTTAGAGTTTAGAGTTACATTTAGAATAAAATGGTATTTAGTTCAATCAGTTTAATATATTTATAACCCTTATAAAAGGGTATTCATTTTGTATTATTTATATACACTAAAATTTGTTTTTTAGTTTAAAAAGGTTGTTTTCTCAAGAAACTTGACTTTTCAAATAATAATAATAATACTTGACTATTGTAACAGACACCTTCTAACTGCAAGCACCTTCTCTATCCTAAAATAATAAATATTTTTTGTATTGCATATATATATATATATATACACACACACATAGTTTGGATTCCTAAACGTTACACCTTTTAGCATTTCAACGTTTTTTATATTCCCTGCCAATACACATTTACACCTTTGAATTTCAAATATAAAAATTAAACACTTCAAAAGTTACCATCTTAACTAATTCCTTCTTGCTAAAAATAAATAAATAAATAAATAAAAACTACTTACACCTCGGAGTGAAAAAAACTCCAACACCTCCTATTTTTTTTTTGATAAGTACCAACACCTCCTATTATAAAAATAAATAATGTATATATTCTGCTTACCATGTAGCCTGCTTTCATAAAGAGTTTCTTTTAAATTCAAATGCCTACAAAGAATACCTCTTCTTTAGATAATTTCCAATTAAAATATATTGGTTCTCTATTTAAATTATTTTGTACATATTATATTTTTTTAATAATTTTCTCAATATAATTTGTATATATTACATCCAAAAGTCACATCTGACATGTTTTCTCAATATAATTTCTATTCATATATATCTTTAATATTTTTATTTTATTTTTATTAATTCCAAAAAATGTGACTTATCCAAAAGCCACGTCTTTCTCATTTTTATTTTTTATTTTTCATTATTTTTATTGATTAATTTCAAAAGACTTGACTCACCCAATTGTCACACCATTTATCTTTATATATATAGGAAAAAGAAAAAGAAAAAGAAAAAGAATTCAATATGTTTCAATTTGAAGATAACTCTTTGAAAATAGATATTTTTTTAATTAATGTATCTACTATAGATGAAAATTTTAAATCATAAAAATCATTGAATCAAAAAAGAATAATTCAAAAACATAAAAATAAATAAATTTACAAACATTTTTCATCACGTGCAACGCACGTTGATCTTCTAGTATATATATATATGTATATATATATATATATATATGTATTATTGATGAATTCACACAGAAAAAAGAAATGGAGAAAAAACTATATAATAACAATTAACAACATATGAAAAGGACATGAGTGTGCTGCTTTCATTTGCAGCATGCCTATTCTCTGTTTCTTCTTCATTTTGGACCATTTCATGTCATATTTGTCAATAGTTTATAATCTTTGCTGTAGACCTCACTCAGCCATTATTTATGGAGAAGCATTTCAGGTGCATGCTAAGTTGCTAACCAACCTAAGAATAAAGTAGGTAACAAATAGACAGGAAATCATAGGAGTGGACACTTATCACTGACATTTTACCCTCATAGCTAAATAGCTTCTTTGCAGAAAATAGTAGCAGAACCCATATATGAGGGAAATTGCATACGGATTCCAGACTGATATTGATAATCTGTTTTCTTAGCACTTAGATTAAGTTTCTTGTGTACGGGAAGGAAAAAACTGAAGAACATTGAATAAATGAACACCTATTTTCAGAGCTTACAGAGTCAAATATACTGCAGTCCCAGACCCGAGCACTGTGACCAAATAGCACAGGGCCCACTGAGTGAGAGTCGACAGCCTCTGAGGGATTATCTTTCTTTTCCTCATGAACTGACCAAATGCGAGCACTGTATCAAAAAAGAAATAAAACCATAACAGGAATCTCTACTATAATTACTCAATAATCTATAAAAGGGAATAATGGTACAAGTTGAAAAAATCACCTACGATCATCAGAGACGGATACCAGTTTGGATCCATCAGACGACCATGAAATACGAAAAATTGAACCTTCATGTCCAGTAAGTCTACATATATGAACAGCTTCATATTGCTGACTGTGAAGCTGGAGACTGTTGTTTATACTTGTAATATTGACATGATCTTCCACTGGACTTCTCAGAGAAGCCCGGTTATGGGGAACCACTTTCCAAACAATAATCTGCTCATACCAAACTTAGTTTAAAAGAAAATAAAAAAATAAAAAATTGCAATTCAAATATATAATTCAAGGAAAATTTCCAACTTCAAAATAAAATCCCAATGCCATGAGCATCTCTAATTCAAATTTTCTGAAGTACAGGACATGAAAACACAAATGATTTACGTAGGACAACTATGCAATGATCGGAGAAGTACAAGAAAATTCCAAAGAATGCACACGTCAAATTTATTATCAGCATAATTACATTCAGACCACATTGAAATATTTGCAGTTGAAACACAACGGTGAAAGAATTCAATCTAAGATACTATTCTTGGAAGTAAAATTAACACATCTAGGATATTTGAAAACTATAAATCATAAACACGGATGCAGGATACCGAGAGGACACAATAAAGAAATACTGATAAGTAAATTTTAAAAACATGGGCACGGCAATGACAAGGTAATATACGTGTATGTATATATTGTATGTCAACATGTATAAAAATTAAAACATATGTGCATCTATTTATTAATTTACTATGATAATTGTTTGTCATAATTTTATGTACACATATTATGACTTACTTTATGAAAAAAGAAATTGACAAGAAAGAAATTTTATGAATCTATTGGATATTTTCTATAACTTAAAATATTAAAGATTAAATGGCAAGAATTCATGTAATAATTTGGAGAATAAATCATTTGCGAACACATATAATGACTTACTTTATGAAAAAAGAAATTGACAAGAAAGTACTTTTATGAATCTATAGGATATTTTGTAAAACTTAAAATATTAAAGTTTAAATGGCAAGAATTTGTGTAATAATTTGGAGAATAAATCATAATAAAGGAAGATTAGCCACCTCATTGTAGATAGTACCAGATGCCACACGAAGAGCTTCAACTTGGCTGCCGCACATCCGCATGGAATACAAAAGACACCTCTCTACAAATGATTAAATGAAATGAGAAAAGGGGAATACAATGAAAAGGTCATGCCACACATGAAACAGCATAGACAACTCAGTAATTAAGAAAACCAAATCCTAACTCTTGAAGTCATGCACTTTAAACATAATTCTTGATTAAGTGCTACTACAAAAGAGAAGTAAAAAAAATTAATTTAGCTAAAAAGGCATAAGGAATATAAATTTCTAGAATCAACAGGGCAGCAAAAGTTTGCCACATGTAAACCTACCATAATCTAAAAGTTAATTGCAACCACGATCAGAGTCTTCCAAATTTATACGGAAAACTGACCTGAACATCTCACTTCAAAAATCAGAATGGGTTTCAAAATATCCCAGAAACAGACGGAGTTGTCACTACAACCAACTGCAAGACGATGGCTCCCGTCATCAGAAGAACTTGTATGGTCCTACTACCAACTCGACATGGAAAATAGCATAAGAATGATTAATAATGTAATCTTCAAGGGTAACTAAGTAGGAATGATTAGCAATGTCATCTTCAAGGGTAACTAAGTAGGAATGATTAGCAATGTCATCTTCAAGGGTAACTAAGTACGAATGATAAAAAGTATGAACATGATTAAGCAATAAATCTTGAACATGTTTACCTTCAAGAAGCAAACATCCAAAACCCAGTGACCAAATTTTGGTAATGAATGTAACAGAATCAAGTGAGTGCCTTCTTCTGACTGATCTTGAAATGTCAACTCCATCTCGATGCATAACCTAAATACTTTGACTCTCCTTTCCCCAAACACAGCAATCTTGAAAACGAGTGTGGAAGACAACGATCCTTGTGTGGTGGTACAGGAAATTCCATGCACTCGGATACCATCGAACACGTTAAATGATTTAATCAAATTTCCCATTCTTAAATCATAAAGTAGAATTTGTGATCCGGTACCTGTTGAGACAAGATTGCGTTGTGAGAACTCGGCATAAGAGTGTGATGGTAAATTAAAGATATTGTATTACTTATTTAAGTTGTGACAGATGCAGAACCATGTTGAAGTACTATTAGAACCTCTTTGAGAATCATAAACCTACCACACATGAACCTGAATAAAATGAATTTTCAGGAGCAAGATTATGAGTGAGCAAGTTCACTCACCTTGTAGATTTTTATTTTCTCTAAGTGGCTTATATATTATCATATTTGAGACTCCAATGCATAAAAAACACACAGATATTGACATATATGAATAATCTGATGGCATAGACATTGAATAATTATAATGCAAAATTAAATTGGAGAAAGAGGCAGGGAAGTATAAAAAGGAAAGAAGCGAAGTGAAAAGGATAAAAAGAAACATACAATCGCATAGTTAAATTAGAGACTACTGGAATGTATAGATAAATTGGGGAAAGAGAAAAAGAGCGATAAAATAAGAAAGAAGATAAATATATATATATATACACACACACACTACATACATACCGGCAAGAAGAAGAGGAGGAGAAGAGATGTGAGGAGGAGGAGGAGGAGGAGGAGGTATGTGAAGAAAGCAGAGGGCTGAGATTTCGCCCAGGTATTGCCCACCACCGCTGTGCACTCGCCATTCTTCTTCTTTCGTGCCCATGCCCCTCTTTCCCGCTGCCATTTCTTTACTCACAAAGACAAGAGAGAAAAGTAGTAGTCGTCTTCACTCTTCATTGTAGCCTCCCTTGACTCGATTCCCTGTTTCCATACCTCGTGGACTCTATGGCGGTGGCCCATCTATCTCTGGACCAACTACAACGGCCCATGTATTAACTTTTTTCTCTGTTTTTTTACATCAATCACCGATTCACCGTAAGCCTCACTGTTCACGTATATCTTGTGTACACACTTATTATTAGTATTAGTATTATTTTGAACTTTTCTGAATTTATAATTAAAGAGTATGCGTCCAAGAATAATATTAGTAGGTCTGCACTAATTTTTTTGATTTGGTAATTAAAAATATACATAATTAAATAAGATGTATGCATTTGTTATTGGTTTATAGGTGAGGATGGAGTTATTCTCATGTCCTTTAAATATATATATATATCACATATTTATGAAAAGGTTAATTTTAATTTTTTTTTTCTTAACAAATTAAGGGAAGGGACTCGAATACGAACACACCAACTAGTAAGGTCCAAAGACTATTTTAATTTATGATCTCCAAATAAAGTGTGCATAACTCTTCACAACTAAAAGTGTGCAGAATTCTTCCTAATCGAAAAGTGTGCAGAATTCTTCCTAACCAAAAATGACACGGTGTCCTGAAACAAAAAGGTAAATTTTTTTTTTTTTTTTTGCCCCTTTCCCTACTACATCTACCAAGGGAGGGAGATGATTGGTGGGAGTCAAAAATGGGCTTCCTAGTAACATACGAGTGCCTCTATCAATACCTAATTTCTGTTACCCCCAATAAAAAAGATAATTATTGTAGTATATATTAAGACCAACGTGTGGAACCTTCCAACAACTAATCAAATCAATTACTGAGACCAACGTGTGGAACCTTCCAACAACTAATCAAATCAATTACTGGAGCTCTAAATGAAAAGATGTCTATTTTTTCTATTTGGTTTACCAAGCTTGAATTTATATCTAAGTAATGATTGGAGGGGCTTGTAATGATTGGAGTGGACTTGTTGAGATTTGACAATATCCTTCAATTTGACAATTTCAAATTGGTCGTTCTACTACCTTATGTTTTTTTTTTTTTTTTTGGTTAAAATCTACTACTTATGTTGTTATATGAAAAAGTTGGTATTGTATAAGATATTTATATGAAAAAGTCAGTATAACAAGTTGTAAGTTTGAATTAAATCTGAAATAAAAAATTTAAGAATAGGTTAGAATTAAACGTTTCTTATGATGTGATAAGTTACCGCACTAGTCTTACAGTCATCTTAAAATATTATTCTTAAAATATGTTTATAAAAAATTCAATATATTTCAAGCAATTAAGCTATAAAATAAAAATAAAAATAAAAAATTAGTATACCCAAATCAAGATGAATTAGGGTTGAAGTTTCATATGATCTTACTAAGTTACACCACAAGTTCTACATTCCTTTTAAAACAAATATGTTATCCTAAATTATTGTTTAACCATGTTTTTGCAATTAGGGCTAATTTTGTATAATAGAAATAGAAGGAAAAAAAAAAATGTAAAAGTTGGTATGGTATAAGATATTTATATCAAAAAGTCATTATAGCCAATATAATTTTAACTTGAAATTTATGTCAGTTGTAAGCTCAGATTAAACCAGAATTAAAAAATTTTAAGAATAGGTAAGAGTTGAACGTTTCTTATGATGGGATGAGTTACACCACTAGTCTTGCATTCCTCTTAAAATATGTCTATAAAAAATTCAATATATTTCAAGAAATCAAGCTATAAAATGTATAATAGAAATAGATGGAAAAGGAAATAAATAATTTAAAAATATGTATATATGTACATGTGCGGTGAGCGTGGATCGAACACGCGACCTTCAGATCTTCAGTCTGACGCTCTCCCAACTGAGCTATCCCCGCTGAACAAGGGCTTGATAAGGTTTGTTTTACATAGATTTATTCCTACGTCAAATGAGCGCTTCCTTCTTAGAAAAATATTTTCTCTAGGAGGTTGGGTGAGGAAGATCGATAACAGATCCATAGATGGGGAAGACGCCTTCGTTTAAAGAAGAATTCAAATTCGGTTTGTTCAATCCACAATTCTCTTCTACTATATATCGCTTTCTGTTTCTCCATCTTACTTTACCTTCTTCACCTGTCTAAATGAATACTATTCAACTGCAGAGGAGCGGTGCTACGATTCCCGAGATATAATCGCCAAATATCCTGATCGACTCCCCGTAAGTCCTCCAACCCTCAGATCCTAAAGAATTTCTTTTTATGTCGTTTCTTTTAATTTTCAGATTTACTTCGTTTTTATTTTTATGATTTTACTGTGATTTTTAATTCTTTAATTTTGATATTGTTTGTGACGAAACTGTCTAATTAATTTTGATATTATCTGGTCTTTATATTTATGATTTGATCGTTTGATGAGTTAGGCATGATTTCTCGAATTTAATTCTTCTTTTTTTTGGGGGCTAATTGAATATGATATGTTCACAATTTTATCAATTTCTGATTGTGTTCACTTTTTCTTTCTTTCTTTTTACATAGAGGCTCCGTTTGTTGAACATTTTTCATGTTAAAGATTTTACATAAAAAATATTTTTTATACTATTATTTTCTGGTGCTTGGTTTGAGCCTTGCAAAAGATATATATATATATATTTCCAAAGACAAACCACAACCAAACCAAATGAAACCCTAACCCTAGACATATCATTGTTACTGTTGAAGCAACCCAAATGCCAGTTTGATTTCCAGCCATTCATATGCCCCCTCCGCAAATCACAGCAACCCAAACGGCATTACTGCCGTAAACTCCAACCGCCAGCAGTTCAATTTTTTGCTGGAAACTTAGAAATTTCGAAGGAATATCTAGCCCTATCGAAATCTGTCCATGAGGATGAGCGAAGCCAAGTTTTTGCTCGATTCATATGTTTTATAAGCAGCCATACTGAACAGAGACTATTTTCAGGGATCGGAGGGATCACCAGGGGTAAGGTTCAAGAAATCTATTTGCCAGAGTCTGTCAACTGCCACCACAATCAATACTTTCTATCTCTTCATCAAAATAGTCTCTTTCTCTCTCTACATATCTCTCTCACTTGCTCGCTTTCGCCAGAAGACAAGACAGAGTATGCTAGTGCGAAGAGGCCACCTAAAGTAAATAACTTACGAAATGTAGATGGTAATTTGTTTGATGCCATTTTGATGTAAAATAATTTTCATTGTAAATTGTTTTCAATTTTAAGATGTAACCAACGGAAATGTCGAAAATGTTTTCCGGAAAACATTTTACGTTGGAACAAACGGAGTCAAAATGTAAATGTTTGATTGTGTAAATTTTTCATCTTTTTCAGTCCAACTTGTGCTTTACTGAAATTAATACCTCTTTATTGCACACTGTGTTAAGGGTCAGAATGCTATGAGGATTTCAACACATGCACATACATGTGTATTGAGCATCCATGCACATGTTATAATTTGAATTTTTTTCCCAATGCATGGTTTGTTTTGCTTTTAATAATCATCTCCTGTTGCTGTTGTGAGTTAAAATTGCTCTCACCTTGCCATTAATGAAACAACATAGTAGTTCCCAAATTCCCTTCCATTACTAGCATCAGTTGTGTTGCCTTTACTTAGTTATATGACGGTAATGTTCTTTAGGTTACTGATGATGCTAGCTGAAATTATTGAAATTTAGACATGTTGTCAAAAAAATGCAATCAACTATGAAAGAAAGAAAATAAATCTGAAGAAGGAAAAACAGAGAGCTAATTCAAGCTAGAAAAATAACTTAAACACCCACAACTCAATCCCAAAGAAAGGGAGAGGTAAAAGGCTGCTGTAGCAGGCTGATTATATTGAAAATATGTCAAAAGCTGCTGATTACAACTTGGAACAACCCTTTTATAAGACACAAGGGATGCCCTAGCAAAGATAAAATCCTAGCCCTTCAAATAAATGTAATCTAAAGGCTAGTATTTTCTCCAGCAGTACAAAGAGCTAAAAAATGACTAAACAGTCCTTAAGTAGTCACATGACTCACTTAAAGCGCACGTGACTAGTAAAATAAAACTAGAAGGACAATAATATCCTAAACTTGTAATCAAAACAGATTTAGATAAATGACTCAAGACCCATAAATAAACACACAATCTGATCACACCATCAGCTGCATCTATTAATGGAAAACTCCGTCTAGTCTTCTAAGGATCTTCAACTGTTTGAAGAAAGCCATTTGCGATGCATCACAAAATGAGCTTGCTTATAAATATTAACCTATTTTATGTCTTTACTAATTAGTGCTTTTATACCAATTACCTTATCAAGTTAGAAATTACTACCCGAAAAAAAATATTAGAAATTTCTAGCTCCTTCATATGTATTTGATTAACAAATAAGCTTAGGTATTTCCCGAAAACAGCAGAACCATGAAGTCAGGAACCTTCTCTGTGTAGTTTTTGCTTTTGAAATGACAGTCAAAGCATGATTAGAGAAAAAGAAAAAGTCCTCCCCCACCCCGTCCCACTCACCCGCACCCTTCCCTTCTCTTACCTTCCCTTCCTCTTCCCCTTCCCGAGCCCTTCTTCAATATTAGCCCTTTCTCAATAGGATGGACTCTTAAAATCATTGATAGCCACCAAAGGGCCAAGTGGCCCAGCGGTACCGGCTCTTACTCCCCAAAAGGGAGGTCTAGAGTTCAAGCCTCAGTGGAGGCGCTTGGGTGTCTGTGTGGTTACTACTTACCTATTAAAAAAAAATCATTGCTAGCCACCCAATGCTTCATTATGTATGAGATCGCAGTTATTCATGGTAGCCATCCGACGCTTTATTATGTATGAGACGACTGTTATTTCTTATCATCCATCTATGTGTTGGTTATTATTGTTATTATCATATGCAGGTGGTGGTTGAAAGGTATTCAAAAACTGACCTCCCTGAGATGGAAAAGAAAAAGTAAGTTCCTGTGTTCCCTAAACTTCCCAATTTTGTAAGCATGAAGAACCGTATTTGTTATTTTAAAAACTCACTCTATTCTGTTAGAATTTTAAAATAAAATAAAATGGAGTTCCATTTTTTTAATCTTGTTCTGTACCTCTGTGTGAATATTTTTATAAGTCCATTATGATTCATTCACCAAACAATAGGTTTTGGATAATTATTTTCTGGCCCAAGTTTATTTATTTATTGTACTCTAGTTTATGAATTCAGTTCCTGAATCTTAAATCAATTCCAATTGATTGTCCAATATCAGTGACTATTTTGGTAGAGGAGTGCAAATTTTCTCCTCATGGTTTTTATTATGGAAGACATGAGTCCTAGTCGGAACATAAAATATTAATCTACTGTACTTTCCATGCCGCAATTTTGTTAAGACCAAAGTGCTTCAGTCTTTGAGTATCAAGGACACATCTTCCCTTTTCTTTTTCTTTTTTTTCATAATTGGACACATCTTCCCTTTGCCCAAACCTCTTTTTTTTTTTTTGTGGGAAGCAGTCTATTTTATATGGGTAAGTTGCATTTGCTTAAAGTTCCAAAGATACTTAAAAAGGTGCTGCTGTGGAATTAGTGCTGTAATCATATGTTCTCTTTTTCTTTCCTGTTCAAATTGCTGGTGTACCTCCTTATCCCCATTTAAACTGTGATTATCAATTGGTCCCACTGTTCCCAGTACATAATATAATTTGTTATTGCCATGGAATTCTGATTCATCATTAAATGTTGCTTTGGAGCCCAATGTTTTTGAAGATCCAGTAATCCTATCCAAATTTCAGAAGTTCTTTTTGTTCATTATTTGTAAATTAATATATTTGTGCTTAAACTTTTTATTTCTTATGTGGTTGATTTACTAAGTTTGAACCTTTTTTTTTTTTTGGATAATAGGTACCTGGTACCCCGAGACATGTCTATTGGGCAATTAATTCACATCTTGAGTGGCAGGCTTCATCTGTCTCCAGGAAAAGCTCTTTTTGTATTTGTCCAGAATACCTTACCACAAACATGTAAAATTTCATTTAAATATCTTTTAGGAATTATTTTGCATGAATTCTTAGTCGACTTACCCCATCCTTAAATCTGTAGCTAGTTTGATGGAAACTGTCTATGAATCATTCAAGGACGAGGATGGGTTCCTCTATATGTGCTACAGCAGCGAGAAAACTTTTGGAAATGCAAATAGCCAGACACGTTGATGCTGATGCTGTCCTTTGTAGATAATTGAAAATCTGCATTTCCTTATGGACTTTTATGTATCATAATGTAGCATATACGTGTGAGACAAAACTGTTTTACATTATCAAATGTTCTGTACATACTTTAAACATCAGGGATGTTTCAAGTTATATTTACACACATCAATCTCTTTTATACCAAGGACGTATCATGAGCTTTGGTCATGTGCTGTATGTAGATTGTTAACTGCGAGATATATGCAAAGAAGTTGTTGCATAAACGTGCTGAAGGGATCTAGGTTCAACTGCATATGACGTTACTCATTGAAATTTATTGTTTATTGATATACACGTGGCAGCAATAATACCGCAACACTACTTTTATGGCCTGTCATATGAACATCCACAAAGGTGTTCACAAGATTCAAAAACAGATTTTTAGAATTTTACGAGTTGCATTCACACACGCATTTTTCCGTTGACTTAATCAAGTTTAGACCACTCCAAAGTAGAGTGTCAATTGCTTTCTCATTACATAATTGAAAAATGAAACGAACATGACATAATGGTGGTACGACTTAAAATTGTTATACCCGTCCCTGCACTTGGAAAATCTTTTACTGTTGATTGTCCTTTTGCAAAACTATTGATTTGTTGCAATAACCATTAAACCAATCATAAAAGACTATTTTATTCTTTTTTATTAAACTTATCATTTCTTATTTAATTATTTTTATTATATTTTTTCTTATTTAAATATTAATTATACCATTTACCTTAATTTTATTATTAGTATCAATTTATCATAAAAATGAAAAAAATTAAATAGATTTATAATTATATTTTTTAATATGATAAACTTATTATTAAATTTTACTATTTATAATAAAAATTATTATACTCAATTTAAATTTCATTAACATAAAAAATACATTCTTTTTCACATAATATATTCATGAAAATTTAATAAATTAATTAAATAAAAATACCTTTTTTCATGCAATATTTTCATACAAAAATAATTAAAAAAAAGTACTTAAATTGTTTTAAAATATTCTACTTAATATTTTTTTAAATGATTATTTTAAAAAAATTAAAGGTAAATTTATGCAAATTTAATGAAACATAAGTCATCAATATAATATGAATTTTTTTCTGTAATTTATTTTAATAAGAAACATAAATTAAGTACAATTAAAAAAGAAAAGACATTATAATCATTTAATAAAAAATAGTCTGAATATTGAACCATTTTTCAATAAAATGTGATAGTCAAAGGTATAAAATATAGTTCAAAAAAATTATTTACAAATTCGTACATAGTTAGGATTTTTTTACACTTTAACCTAAATTTAATTTGAATGCTCTTATGTTAAAGGTGAGAAAAAAAAATTTAAAATCATAAAAACATTAAATATGAAATTTATAAGAAAATCGTACAAAATACGATAAGAAAAAAAATGATGGCTTTAACATCCATCAATATTGGAAGATGGAACAAAATTATTTTATTTTATTTTATTTTTTCCTGGCACAGGGAGAGACCCAAATTCAAAATTAAAAACAACAATGGATCCAAAGTGGTTCGTCAAATTGACCCCTCAACCTATCTCCAACTCCACTTCCCAAAGACACAGATAAAGCTCCCGGGTGCCACGCTGGCGTACCGTTCTCGTAGGCGTTACATGTCAGCCTCCGCAACCCACTCCCGTCCAACCTCACCACGTACAGGTCACCATACGGCTGGAATTGGTTGGGCAGGGACACAGGCTCCGCCGTCACGCCGCCCAAGTTCGCCGTGAACAGTAGCCACTCGCCGTCCGCACTGAAGCACACGTGGTTGATCCTTTCTCTGTCCTCGGCCAACTGGATCCTGCGTACATCGTCGCCGTCGGGTCGGATAACGTATATGCTGAAGGCATCGACGTTATCGGGATTATGTCTGTTGGAGGAGAATGCGATGAGTTCTCCGTCAGGGGACCAGCTGGGCATGGTATCAATCCAGGGTCCCTCAGTCAACTGACGGATTCCGCCACCGTCACATTCTCCCTTCACGGCGTCAACTATGTACAAATTCTTGTGCCCCGATCGACCGGAACGGAAGACCACCAACTTTCCGTCCGGCGAGCACGAAGGGAACGCGTTGTTACCTGTGTCGTCTCTTGTCAAGATCTTTATATCACGGATAGGGATGTCTTCTTCTTCTTCACAATCGTCAGCGACGAGATCGAATAAAATCCGTGCAATCTGGACCGTTGCCTTTACGGACTCAAAGATGGGTCCGATCGATGAGTAAATCACGTTCCTCTCGGCCGGGCTCCAGGAATTGTAGAACGCCGTTCTGCCTTTCAACAGGTTCCATCTCTTTGAACCGTCTGATTTCACGATCTTTATGCCGGGATTCGAATCAAAGTCGTGATTGAATGCGATCAGATCACCGGATGGAGAAAATGTCGGGAATGTTCCGTTGATTCTGAGCATTCGCAGTCCGCCGACCGGTGAGATTACGGGATCTAGGTGTGGGACTATGGAGTCGCCTGGAGCTGAGTCGCCTCGAAATCTGTGATAACCGATAAATCCAGATTCGGGAGACACAAAGGGATTGTAGTGGTGGAAACTCGGGTTGAGTGACTGAGTCACGGGGTGGAAATCCCCTGAGTCAAGGTCGAAGATCTCGATTTGGCGGAAGCTACTTTCACGGCGCCTAGTGGCGAGGACGATGCGATTAGCATGGTGCATAGCCGCGGGAGTGAAGCAGTGGACACCCGGAGGGGTGATTCGGTGGCAAGGGACATTTGCGACGTCGGTGGAATCGACCTCGAAAGCACGGGTGGGTAAGTCGAGTCGGAAAACGCTCCACCATCCATCGGGGTCTTGGCGGTGGAAGTAAATGGTGGAGTCGCCTGACCAAGTGGGCCAGCCACCGTGTTGACAGACGACAACACGCTTGGTGGGGTGGGATTCTGGGAAAACAACAATATCGGTGTGGAGGTCATGGAAATGAGCAGTATTCCAAGGGCGAGAGCCGTAAGAGGCGACGGCAATGAACTTGCCGGTGTGGGAAACAGCAGGACTGTAGTCAACGGAGTCGTTGGGTGTGAGACGGACGATTTCCTTCTGGTGGCTGTGGCTGTGGCCGTGGCTGTGAGGAAGGAGGAGAGCTGTGGAGTAAACAGCGGAGCTGCTTTTGAGCAGTTGATGACGATGTTGGTGAGCGGAGGAGGAGACAAAGTAGAGACGTCCGTTCTTAATGATGGGACGGTCGTGGCTGCTATGAGAATCAGAAGACGACGGTAGTAGCTCCTCCGCCTGTGGAAAACCGGGTCGGTTGAAGAAGATTCGAGAGGCGCCAGTTCTCTCGGAGACGTAGACGAGAGTTGTTTGGTCCTCGTCCACGAACTGACCGTTGAAATTAAGGGAAACACCGTCGGTGAGGCGGTGTTCGGATCCCAATTGGATGTGGGTGTGGAGATCATTAGATGTAGAGAGAAGTTTGATAGAGAAGATGTCGAATCCGTAGTGTTGTATACCGAGTGTGGTAAACACTATTGTTCCTTTGGGCTCCTCCATAGCTGAGCTGCTTTGTCTGAGTGAAGGAAAGGGGTGTTGACAAGAGGAGAACAAGGAGAATTGGGATTTTTCTTTTTCTTTCATGATAAAATAAATATGTAATAATAATTTAAAAAAAATATAATATGTTAAAGGGTAAGGCATGGCGTGACGTTTCTATGGCCAGGAAAGGAACAAACAAAGACTACCATGAGGTTAGCCCATATCTCATCTCATGGCTGCCAATTTCACACGTCAATTGAATCTAATCAAAGCATATCTATCTTTCCGAATTTTTAATTTGACATACGTTTTTATTCTACAGTTAAATCATTAAATGTTAAATTATTGATTTATTATTTCTTCAATCATTCTCTTCAAATAAAATAATAAATCAATCGTTGTGTAATCCTACATTAATTCCATATGGATAGATGGTGTGGACATTTATGTTCATAGCTAAAATTATCCCAGTAAAAAATTATTCATAACATCACTAATCACAACTGCCTTTAGAACCATCATAGTAATTGATGAAAATAAGTCACTCAAAAAAATTGATCCATGTGTCTTTACTACTTGCTAATGATTGATTATTAGGATGGCAAAGTTCCATTAAAACATAAAGCCAAAAAGAATTCATCCACAAACCAAGAAACCCCTTAGACGGACAACATTTGACCCAGCAGATCTGTATTCAGCCCTCGTCCCAAGATTTGTCTGTGCTTCATTCTTGCATCAACTTACACCACCAAACTTCCAATGAAGCTAGGAGATGCAACAAAGGTTTCTATAATCCCAAGTCCATCTTATTTTTTTCCGTTCAATCATACGACTCTAAAACACAAGAGGCTTTGGCATCTTACAAGTTATTGTCCCACCTAGCAATTAGCAAATGGTTCTCAGGCGAGATGTTAGACGGCACATACTTTACAAGCTCTGTTTCTAATCCACGTTCCTTCATCCACATCAACCTCCCCATGTCAATGATATCCTTGCACATGAAGCCCAACACTGCCCTCTTCACAGCCCTCATATTCATCAAAACTTCTTCAGCTCCACATGGAGCCCTGCCACATTCTTCCTCCCCCCTGCTAAAACATGACAACAATAAATATGTCAACCCAGAACTTCAACACCAATTAGAAAAAAAAAAAAAAAAAGAAAAAAAAAGCCACCACATTATTGTAGAGGTTGGACAATTGAATGAAATATCACAACTTCCTCGGACAATTCTGACAAATAAATGTTATGATGGCATTCACTTGGGACCGATTGCTGACAATTACATGATTTCTACACTTGATCTGCAATCAACTTCACCAGAGAGATCTGAACTATGGTCTGCATCTACTGCCCAGCTGGTGAACCATGTTATTGCATGGAAATCTTCCTTGGTAATACCCAGATTTGATAAATATATCTTATCTGCAGGGCAACCAAAGTTATTAAATTTACTTGAAATTTGAAGAAAATAACATACTACTTAGCCAACTATTTATAAATTTGATTGGAGGCTAGATATTATGAGTACTTATGTAGTGCTTCCACTGGCAAAGATGATGGCAACATGTCGCTATAGCCATGCCTCTCAGGTAACAACCAGAACTGCACTGTGAAACCTTACTTTCATTACAATGTCCCGCAATACAACATCTTAGGGTCATATCTGCAGCAAAGCTGTACTCTTCATAATGGATGATGCAATTGTATAATTGTAAGCAAATAATAGATATATTAAGATCAAGAATGATCTTTAATGTTTGAGGATGAGATAAATGAAGTGACTTTGTAATTACCTGTTGCAGGCCCACAGAGATGTTTACCAATTGCCAAATAAGGAATTCCTTGCAAAGATTGAACAGCATTCAAGTTCAAATCTTCAACTGCAATAAGCAAATGTTATCATGTAAAAGAGGTAGTGGGAAGTACCTTCCATAAAGAATCTGTATATTAAAAAGGAAAATCGCCAAATTGTGTTATACAAAGCAAGAAAATATTGTAATAAATGTTGCATGAATTTGGAGGCATTTCAGGAGCAGGTATTTTTTTAGGAACTAGGGTGTTGTTTGGGGAGCATCTCAACATCAGAAGTCCTTTGATGATAATTCCTTCCCATAAGGAATTTTACTCAATGGAATTTTTAAGATAAAGGATGTTTGGTGACTGCATTTTTTAAAGGACTTCTAATTATTAAATTATTTTTTACTTGACGATATTACCCATTTCTTTTCTACCCTATTTCCATTTAAATCCATCATCCAAGTACCACTGTTAGTACACCAACAAAGACCAACATAGAGAAAATAAAGTAATTTTTTTTTTTTAACAAAATTTTACTAATCAACAAAATGAGAATGAAATGAATAGAAATTTTAAACTAAGAAAGAACCACGTCCAATTCATTAGAGAGAGAAACTTGGTGAGAAATTTGGCAGATTGTAGAATTGATAAGCTATTAGTCCTTTCTAGTCTCTCATCTCTCCTCTTCTATTTTTCAAATAATTGGAGAATTGATAAGAAATTAGTGGCATGCACGATTGGGACTACCTACTGCAGATGAGGTTAGATCTCTGTTTAGTTGAATTTGCCATTGCTCCTGTTTACGTGGGTGGTGACCTAAATGCCTGTAATTTCCGGAACTACAGAACTCCCGCTGTTGCAAAATGTTGTCATAATCTCTCTCTTCACTTCTAATTTTCAAATATGTCGCAACTTAAAAGAATAGATCAGAAGCAAAATCCTTTTCACAACTGATATTGGAGGTGTGGTAGTGGCCACACTAGTGATGAGGCGCCAGAGGAAGGAGTGGAAGCTCCCCCAACCAGGCAGTAGATATGCTTGACTCCACAAATATTAGTAGAAATGGAAAAAGCTAACCTTTAAAGTAAATTGGGTAGTTTTTAGGAAGCTTCCTGATGCCAAAGTCCTTTGGTAAGAAGGTTTTTTTTGTAGAAAAAAATTCAGCATAATGAATCCAAAAGAAGCAAAAGCTATCACTTCTATTTGGCTTATGTGCAAGTGCTTGGAAACTGTATTTTAGAAGAGCTTTTAATGCCAGCAGAGTTTTTCAATCTGTTTGGGTTTGGCAAAACATTTGTTGAAGCTCTTCTACTACTGAAATGACTCTTTTGCCCTTACATAGAGTATTTTTTGGACCGTCTGGCAATAAAAGATAGTTTAACCTGTTTTTTTCATAACTCTTTTTCTAAAAAAAAACACAAATAAACCATTCAATATAATCAAATTTAAGAATAACAATAACAACAATTAAGAGATTGGAAAAAACTATTTAGCGGTTCAGAAAATTTTGTAATTGAATCTCAATATGCCGTTAAAAATATTGAGAGCACTTTTACCACATGAACCAATGAGATAAGGCTTAGTCCGTATCGCACTTTTACCACATGAACCAATGTGTTTCAAATCTCTCACCATCACAACCACTCCAACCAAAACACTTTCTTCACTTGATGTATAAGAGATTGGCAAAAACTATTTAGCGGTCCAGAAAATTTTGTAATTGAATCTCAATATGCCGTTAAAAATATCGAGAGCACTTTTACCACATGAACCAATGAGATAAGGCTTAGTCCGTATCACACTTTTACCACATGAACCAATGTGTTTCAAATCTCTCACCATCACAACCACTCCAACCAAAACACTTTCTTCACTTGATGTATTTCAACTAGTGGGATGGTCTTTTCTTAAATTTCCATGGCAACCAAAACAACATTTTGATCATTTGAACTTATCTCTCACCATCACAACTACTCCAACCAAAACACTTTCTTCACTTGATGTATTTCAACTAGTGGGTGGGTCTTTTCTTAAATTTCCATGGTAACCAAAACAACATTTTGAATCTATAATAATAATAATTATAATATTATTTCTGCTTTTTCTTCTAAAAATAAAACAATTTATCTCATGTTTTATGACTTTCCTAGAATGATAAAACAAAATATATCACACATTTACAATGAATCCCGTAATGAACCCCCTTTTTTTTCTTCACATTGTTAATGTCTATCAAATGAGCTAAACAACAAACTTAATTCTATTATAAGGAAGTCATTGCTACTGTCAATTATTTGTTTTTATATATCATGTTTCTTTGTTCTTTTCCAAGATCAATTACTGTAGTGCTTTGATAAATTGAAATATTAGAGGAAATTAAATACTTATGTGATTTTACATACGCGCTAGACTTGTTTAGCAACTTTATTTTTGGAGCGTGTTTAGGAACTTTATTGTTGCAGATTCATTAACATTTAACACAAATGCTGATGGGTGATTGTGCAGTTTTAATGAAACAAATCACAGGCTGTCAACCCATGAATGGAGTGGAAGAGCTATGGGGTTGGACTTTCTGATCTTCATCTTGTAACTTAGAATGTAATTCTTTGATGAATTAATAAAATTTGCCTTCTGATTTTTTATTTTTATTTTTTTTATAAAAAAAAACCCTCTATTTTTGGGTAATTAACTGGAATAAATTGTTGCAACAAATGGGCTCAATTCAATTTTAAGGTCCAAAAAAAAATTTGAAGATCTGTCAGTATAGCATGGAGCATTGAAGTATGAGCATGAGATGGTGGTTATTCCTGTGGAAGCCGCTGGTCTTCAGAGCAAACCAAGAGAAGAAAAAATGAAGCCCAAATAGATATGATGAAGAAATAGGCAGAGAACAAATACCAAGAACGAATAAAAGGTCGAATTATAGATTGGAAGATTGAAGAAGTATATCCATTGGTGCTCTCATTATTTAGTGGCTCGCTTAGGGTTCTGCAATTTAATGTGTTATTGGAGCTTGAACAAGAAAGAAGAGAATAGCCCCCAACAAGAATCTTCTTCAAAGATTATATTTCTCCGGTTGAATGCTTGAAGGATCGCTGCTAAGTTTTTCAAAAAATCAGTATTCTTCCTAGTATGAAGGGATATGTTGCCAGAGAACACAGGTGAGTTTTGTCGCTTTAAATGGTCTTTTATAGGGATGCGCTTGGAATTATATTTTTTTATGAGGTAATATAAAGGGTACGCTTGCTATTTAAAAAGTTTTATTAATGCACCCAAAACTCTTCCCATTTATTTTAGAAGAAATTTTGGAGAAGTTGGGGGCTTCTCCAAAACGCTCTTTTAAGGCCCAAAAGCTCTTTTTTAAAACTAGCCAAACGCTACCCAAAACAGCTTCCAAGCCCATAAGGCCAAAAGTAGCGTTTGAAAAGCCAATCCAAACAGGCCCTAAAACTACTCCAACATGGTGCTACCTCACACAGGCACAAAAACATAAAGATTTGACGCACATTATAAACATCATACTCGTTATCAGTATTTATGATGAACTTTTTTCAAAACTACCACTTCGATTAGATACTGTCGTGACCTTAAATCCTATTTTATTTTTGGTTTTCTTTCATTTCCCACAACCCATCATTGATCCAAACCATATTTGACTATTCAAGAGCCTTGCTGTTGATGAGTGTTGTCTGAAACATGAGCTAAGTGTCTTGTATCACATCGGATAGGAAAAGGGTGGATTCTGGGCTTATAAGGGGGATAGATAGTCCACCTAAAACCTTAAGCTTTTAGGATGGTAACAATCATCTGGCAGGTGACATACAACTAGCATCCTCTACGCTCTCATTCTCATGTACTGGGGCAGACCTATAATTATTTACTTGGGGGAGGGAGGGGAACTAGAAGCATGAAAATAAAATTTTAAAAATATTAAACATAATATATATTTTTTATAATAGAAGACTTACATATTACTCCAAATATAAAAAGTTTATGATAAAGATCATTTATGAAAAAAGTATTTAATAACCATGAAACAAGAATATATCTAATTTTGGCACACATAGATATAAATAGACAAAAAAATAAAAATAAAAATCTAATAAAAATGGAAAAAGTAGGAGAAAAAGGAGGATTTGGTTTAAATTCTATTTTTAATTTTTTCTTTTAATGTGGATTTCAAGGTGAAGCCTAAAGGAATCCAAATTGATATTATTTATGAACTTTTGGGCACCACATGTTAAATATTATTTATTCTTTTGTAATGAAATTTTTTAAAATATTTTTATTTTAACTATTCATAAAGCCCTATTAAATAGGGTTCTTCAAAAAAATTGGGGGGCTAATATTATTTTGGTAAGTAAATCTTGTTTTGTTAAGTCTTTTGGTAAGTAGATCTTATCAATAATTTTAAATTCAATTAGATATAGGACCCTATAAAATAGGGTTACCAAATTTTTAAAGAGGCGTAATCCTAACATGGTCCAGCCCCAACTATTGTGATTATTTTGAATTTTGTCCATCACCGCCGCTCTCGCTCCCCTAAAGTTACCACAATTTTGAACCTAACCCACCCTCTTGAGATCTTCATTAGCCCATGTGCAATGCCTCCATCTTCACCACTAGATTCAGTTCTTATCTTATGTGAGCTTTAATCTTCTAATTATTCCAATCCCAAGCAAAGAATATAACCCTCTTTCTTAAATTCTAATCATTTTTCACTCGCTTTTGGATAATTGTTTGGCTAATTTGATTTATGAGTATTCCAGAGCCTCTATAACCAAGATCTTACAAAAATTATCACCTAATTTGGTCAATTTGGTTAGAATCTGTCAAATAATGAGGAATGCAAGGGATATCCCCTCATGAGATGTATTTGCCTCGATTTAGATGACCTTTGACTACAACTAGCATAAAATAAATGATGAATGAAAATCAAACTATCCACAAGAAAACAAATAATTGAGTAAATGAAAAGGAACAAATAATGTTTTTTGAAAAACTTAGAAAATGTAAACAACAGGGGACTACCACCACAATTACTTGGGCTACCAAAAAGGAAGTATGGGTCTAAGACATGAATGAAAGGTGGCCACCATGGGTAAGCAATTGCCATACCTATAGGCTAAAGATAAATTATGCACTGGTACGTCAGATCATATGTGCATGTGTCTTCTAAGCAGCTGACCATCCTTTTGTTATTAACCTGTGTTGGTTGCTTTATCTTTCTTTCCCAAAGTCTAAATCAGTAACCACTTAGCTTGGAAATTTCTTAGGTTCCCTATTGTCCCATTCATTTCTTCTCCTATTCTAGTGTGCCTTCCATAATTCATAGTCCTTTATATTCGTTGACCCTATTGCAAGGCACATGTCCCACATGCTAATATTCACCTCAGGTTTTTTCATAATTTGGCTTGCCTGATCTTCATGTTGATCCTTTCGTGTAGTGTTTTAGGAAGGCATCCCAATTATCAGAATTGATCATCCACTTGGGCGGTAATTGGTCTTCACATAGCACCATAGTGGTAAAGTATTCTTAAGATGTAAACAAGAATACAATACAATTTCACAATTTATTAACTTTTGCTTATCTTAAAAGAGTTTTGTTATTGAAGTTAGACAATGCCTCAGGGTAGCAATAAGCCATGCTTTTTCATTAATCATCCAAGCTCTTCTTTAGGTTGGTGAATGAACTTGATAGATCACATACACAAACTGAGACTGAATCATTCACTTACCAGCCCTAATCCTATCCTTGAGGGTTTTCATCAGCTTAGATCGGCAATGTATGTAAATGACAAAGAAAAACCCACTAAAGCACTAGTCCAAAGAAATAAAGTATTTTTTTTACCTGAATAACGAAATAGAAAGTTTTAACAACTCTATTTATTAAGGCAGTGTCAACCCTTCAAAATTTTCAATATGCTCACTTATGAATGATCATGGTTTTAACAAGTAATTCATCTTTGCAACTCTTGCATCTGGCAGCAATACATCTCTAGACCTCGTAAACGGAGTCTTTAAGTATGTAATATTAATCATGATGAAAGTGCACCCCATAACATAGAAGCATCAAAGAACCTTTGCATTCATGTAATTTATATATGATCATTAATATCGATCATTTTTTTTTCAAGAGAAAAAATAATATTCATCATTTTGCAAGTACATCCAAACAATTTCTCCTTACTATATTTATCATAAAACAATCAAAATCATGAAAAAGATCATATCAGAACCATAAAAAATTGTTCCAAACAACAGAATTCTGAAAAACCTTACTGTCAATTCTCAAACGTTCTAATATCAAGCTCTCTTTTTGACGCAAACTTCGATCAGCCTAGGAGAAGCATTTGCATGTCATTAACAAGAAAATGAAGAACAGGTTAATCTAAGATCAGTGTGCTAGTGACTACAATTCTCATCAATTATTTTCTCCAATACTCTGCCTTGTGGTTTATTTTATTAAAAAATATGTAATAGTTAAAAGGGGAAGAGAAGAATGGATAAAAGATTGCCGAAGTAAAAAAAAAATTGTGCAGAAATGAGCTGACCTTAAGCTTGTAGGACTTGCGCTCGACCAGGATGACTTTGTTGATCCCATAGCAATCGACAAGCATTTGTGTCAAGTACCCTCTGCCAGCCCCAAACTCAACCACTGCAGGGACATTAGCATAATTCCCAGATGGGACATGACAGTCAATCTGATCCCTTACAACATCCCCACCAGAAGTTTTCAACACCCCAAATTCCTCCAAGTTACCAAGAATTGATGCCTGCTGCAGAACATGTTTCTCTTGAAATGGTAATTTCCTGAAAGAAGAAATGTATTATGTTTTACAAAATGAAAAAAGAAAAACCAACAGAAATAAACTTATGGGAGAGGTTTTGCATACATACCGGTCTACTTGTCGATGAATCCATATATGACAAGCCTCTGGTATCTTGTAGGAATCTCGAATGTCTATGGATATTGATGCATGGACGGAGTGAATTTTAGAAATTAATTTGGAGATTTGAGGTGCAGTCATGCTATATACAGCATTCCTTTTTGTTTCAGAGGTGATGTTGAAGTTATTGGGGGATGGTAGCACGTGATGCTTGGGACTGAGTGTTTGGGGTGGTTGTTCTTGATCGTCTCTGTCGCCGCCATTAATGCCCTTTTGGTAGAAAGGTAGGAGTGATAAGGCTTGGACGTGTTTGAGTAATGGGCATCTTTTTTTAAGATGTAGTTCAATATTTTCTTCAAGTACAGAGCTACAAAGTGATGAAATAAACAAACAACATAAAATGAATGTATGTGTGAAAACAAGAGCACACGGCACTGCACTGAGAGAATGATAACAGAGAGAGAAAGAGAGAGAATAACACAGAGAGATGAAGGGTTTACTGAGAAGGATCCACAGGGCATGGAATCCACCGAGCATCGGATCTAGTAGTGTGGTTCCCGCAGAACCTAAGCCACCCACGGGATTACATAAACATAGATAATTACTTATATACTATCCATCAATGTTCGAACCAAAAAACAAGATATGTCTGTATAGAGAGAGAAATAGCACTTACAGTGAGGAATTGTTGAGAGGAGAGTTTGCACAGAATCTGTTCTTCTTGGGGAGCCAGAATTTGCATCGACCATTTTCCATCCTCGATTATCTTCCTTCCTTTCCGCCTCCCATCTAAGTAATTTACTGTTCAAGTAATAAACCCTAAATAAATAAACCGAGCGCTCTAGTCTTTGTCACGTTATATTTTAATAAAAAAGTGTAAATATAAATTTTTATTTATAAATTATACTACTAAAACTTTAATTCATTTTTAAAATTTACTCTAAAATAATTAAAATTATAAAATTATGTTTTTTTTTTTTTTCCTTCGTGTATAGAGTGTTAATTTATGCTACACACACACACATATATATATATATATATAATGTCATTATTTCTTAAAGAAAAAATAATGATGTTGTTGTTTTTTAAAGAAAAATTTTGAACACTTTAAAATGTGTTCATGTTATTTTTAAGTTGGGTAGACTTATGTTATAAATGTAGTCATTAGTGGATAACGCACTACCACAGGCACCTCCCATCTTTGTCTGTAGATTTCTTTGTTTGGATGTATGGATTGCCCTATCCTCGTCGCTAACCCCAAATAGAGGACTAGCGGAATGACAGGGATGTGATGAATGCACACAATAATGATGGGTGAATTGCATTGAACCCTTGGACTACACTGCACCTACTATTTGCTATAGGATCAGAAGCTACAGGCTAAGTGTCGGACTTAAGTGTTTAAGAAGTGTTGGCAAAAGAATAAAATTTAATTTTTAATTTTAGACATGCATATTGAGTGTTCGTAGAAACATTCGTACTTTCTAGATTCACCTCTAAACCAAACGGAGTTGCTTGTGATCTCGTTTGTTTATGAATTATTTTCCCTTGTTTTTATAAATAACACTACAAAGCCTCGTGAAATTGCTTTCTTACATGAAACATTAGTTTAGCGTGCGTGTGCCAATAGAAATGGAAGACTAAAAATCGTATGGATTCGCAAAAAACCCAAACTACAAAAGAGATATCAAAGTTGTTATGATGATTCAATAATATGTTAAAATCAATAATCTACACTGAATTAGGTTGGATTGTACTGATGATCTACAACTTAGTTTTATTTTTTATTTCTAATAATTTGGTTTATTTTAATATACCCAGTACTCTGTTTGATCCCGAACCCAACCATGTGGTAAACGTGGCAAGACTAAGTTTATTCATATGGTAGCAACGCATTATACACATTGGTGTCAAGTCGACAACTAATTCTATATGAGGATCTCAACCCCATTGAAGCCCAAAAATTACATAAAACTTTACAATATTGGGCTCCAACTTTGATCGTCGTTCTAAGACCTTAAATTATATTGAGATTGCCCCAATTTTGGCTTCCTTAGATTAATCCACCTATATTTCGTATGTTTTGGCCAACAGCGAACTCTATCTGGGGGTGGCAATTTATATCCAAATTCATTAAACCGCCCAAATCCGCCCATTACAATTAAATTATTTGGGTACCCAATTTGAATGAGTGGATAATTAATAAGTAAATAAATGGGTACCCATACAATTAATGGGTGAATAATGGGTTTAAATGGGTACCCAACATAACCCACTCATTCTGCCTGCTCTCTGAATTTGTGAAGTTTCTACTTTGCACATAAACTTTATCAGTATTAAACTAATTTGAAAATTACAAGAAGTCGAGAGACAGTTTTGTTTCAGTATTTAATCTTATATTTTATCCTTTAATTGTTTGCTTTTTCTATATTTGTATGTGTGTGTATATATATAAGAGTAAATTACATTGACCTCCTCCCTTGACGTTTTGTCAAATTACACTCAGATGGTGCGTTTGAGACTTATTACTCTGAATTCCCCTAAATGTTAAATATGTGTATAAGAAGTCAATTATGCCCTCTATATTTTAATACTTGTGTAATGAAATAATTTTACATGAGAAATTACTATTTTGTCCAACATTTATAAAAGATCATTATTTTTTGTCAAGAAGGTTTTTTTTTAAAAAAAAAAAAAAAAACTAATTTCTCTCTCCTCTCTTGGCGTTTCTCAATCTCAATATCCTGAACATATATGTATGCATAAGGATTTACATATCTGTAAGGGACTTGGTGACGATGTCAATCATGGTGCACGATGGTGATAGTGCCGACGATGATTATTATGATGCCTACGATGACATACACTACCACCGCCACAACTCCTAATCCCTCATTTACACTACCTACAATCAATATAATATATATATAGTGTATTTGAAAAGAAAATTCTTAGAATGCTCATCCATTATCAATTTGGGTTCTGTTCACAAGTTGGATAACAAATAGATTTCAACCGTTGAAACCCACCAAGATCGTAATTTGTGTGTGTGTATGCATTTATATTTAAAGACAATATATATATATATATATATATATATATATATATATATATATTTAAATTCACCACCAATTTACATTTGGGAATTTGGTTCATAATAGGCAGTAGTTTCACAGTCGTTCATATTATGTGTCATTTTTTGTCTGCTATCTGCATTTTTTAGTTGTTTTTCAAAATACAAGGACTTGATTTCAGTTTGTCATTTTGAGAAATAAATATTGAAATTTTGCTTGTCATTTTGAATTTGCTATTTCAATATCACATGTTTGTCATCTCTTCATAGACAAACGATCCCATTTGCGAGGAAAAAAAAATAAAAAATTGAAAACGGGTTGACCCGCCCATTTGATCCCTGACCCACCATTGGTGGGTTGGTAGTGGGTTACTAGCCCATTTATACCCAACCCATTCAATACCTGCCCAAATTCTGCCTAAACCCACCCAATTGTCACCCTTAACTCCATCCATCGACTTCAATTAGGCCATTCAATTATTTATTCAATCAGTTTCAAAATTCTTCCAAATCCCCATTGCTTAGCTCGCTCACTCACTCACACACTTTATTAGATCAAGGAAAAGGTGTCTAAGGTGGGAGTGGGTAAATGATTATTATGATTTAATAGTTTGATCATTGTAGCCCCATGTTATTGAGAGAATAATGGATTTTAATCAGCTTTATCTCATTGCCTAATTTGAATTCACCACTGATAAATCTCTTATTCCATTACTAGTTGCTATACTTATTAAAAACAAATTTTAGTGATTTTAGTTTTTCATTCGGCAAGCAAGTGATATCTCTATCATTTAAAATGATGCTTACCGTTTTCAGCAATATTCAAATTGCATTATCAAACGCACTTAATTGGATAAGTGCTTAATTCGTTCAGAATTAAGCACTAGATTGAATTATCAAACACCTCCTTAGTACTCCTTTAAGAGTGGAATTTCTTATTAGCATGGTTTCAAAGATGGAATTAGCTTCAAAACTTATGGAAAGATGCTTCCAATCATTCTCTTATCCTTTCTTTGTTGGCAAGTTTAGAAATGAAGGAATAACAAGTGGTTTAATGGAGTTTTTTTTTTTTTTTTCTTTTTTTATGGATTAAGCAATCAATCACTTTTAGGAATTATGGGATACTACCGTGACTCATTCTCTTAGTGATTCTAACCAGGTTCCCGTTGGTGTTATTTGTTTTAGGTAAATTGCTCATTTGGAAGGTAGAGTTAACCTTAATGTTGATGCATCTTTTCACCAGTTGCCTAAAACTTGTGGAGGTAGGTTAGTATTTAGAAACCATGAAGGTGGGTGTATTCGTATTACTTATGTTTTCCTTTTCTTGGTGACCAAGATGGAGAAGTTTAGATCCTCAGATAATGTTGAAATATCTTAGGTGACTGGGGATACTCATAAGTGGATGTCAAATGTGATTGCAAAAACTTTACTCCATTCCAATCATTTGACTCTTTATGCTTTAGATTGGTTTGGGCATCTAAACAATGTAATAGGGTAACTCATGAAGTCAACAAATGAGCTCTTGACAAAGAAACTACTGATTTGCAGTGGGATGTTTGGCCTTCGTGATTATTGGATGTAATTTCTAAAGATGTCAATTAATATATTTGGTTTTAGAAAAATAAAATAAAATAAAGTTACAAAGTTAATTTTGTTCTAATTATTTTAATGTTAGGTGGATTCAATTAATTTCCTCAAAGCCACCGCGTTAACCTACAACTTATAATTAATATGTGTAGGGATTATTCGTAACACAATGAAATATGTATAAAATGACGATATCTAGAGCACAATATGAATGACACAGTGATGAGAATTGGATGAAGGATGAAAAGCAAATGGATTAATGAAAATGTTGGTAGAGCTAAGATCTTTGTTGTATTTATGATAGCGTTTCAGTTTGTTCTGCCTCTAATGCCTCCTGCTCAGGATGATAGTTAAACCCTACAATATTTTGCTAATACCCAGTGGTCCTGCCTTGTACTTTATTCTGTACCCACATAGGTAGGTATGATTTCCCTGGGCACCTAAGACTTATCGAGTCATGCGATGTGCCAAACATATTTTAGCTTGAGCATCAAATGCATTTTGTCATTATATGACTGGTAGTAGCCAAGTTGATAATGACTTTGTCATAGCATTAAATGTGATGTTAAGGTTGTCTGTCACAATATATATCTAACGCTTCACTGATCAGGCCCCTTTGTGCTCGCAGGGCATTTTATAACTTCCCATCTATTAATCCAATATCCTTTTAAAGTATCCCAAGGAGGAGATTTCTAACATCCAATAAAGCCTTACATTTATTTTGTGTTTTACTTGAATCAGAGTCTAAAAAAAGTTCATGGCTTAGGTCCTCAAGGTCTAGCGACCTGGCGCAATGCCAGGATTTGATGACTTGAGGGTTAGGTCCTTAAGGTTTTGTAACTTGGTACGATACTAGGGTTTGATGACTTTAGGGCAATGCCCTTGAGGTTTAGTGGCTTGGCGCGATGCCAGGGTTTGCCCTCAAGGTTTGGTGACCCGGTGTGATGCCAGGGTTTGAAGACTCTGGGGCATGGCCCTCAAGGTTTGGTGACCTGGTGTGATGCCAGGGTTTGAAGACTTAAGGGCGAAGCCTTTGAGGTTTGGTGACCTAACGCGATGCAAGAGTTTGACGATTCAAGGGTGAAGCCCTCGAGGTTTAATGATCTGGCACGATGCCTGGGCTTAATGACTCAAGGGCAAGGCCCTCAAGGTTTGGTGAC